AGGGTGCTTCTAGAGGTTGAGCTCCCACCGTGTACTCCGACTTAGCAGGACTAGCGATTTTCGAGGAAAACATTGATTTCAGGGAACCGATTCGATTGTATTAGAGAAAACAATCGACGGCGAAAAACCTATTTTGAAGGTGACTAATTCGTGGGAAGTCAGGGTAAACCGAGGAAAGCCAGGGATCTTTGCCCGACACTGGAAAGTTAGTGAATCGCTTTCTGTAGGCCAAAACATTCAATTCTCTCTAATTTCCAGAGATTTTGCGCCGAAAAAACGGAATATGCGTGGAAGTATGAGAGTGAAGTATTTATGAGAAATCGTGTCAAAATCACATTGAAAAGTCAGGGCCAAAAGAGAGACTTATGTTTTCAAAAAACCGAGTGAAAATGATGGAAAAGGCAGGGAATTTTGAAATACATCAAGGGTGCAGAATGTTTTTTGCTTTCCTATTTTGTGAGGCAGCATTCTCATATCTGTCAGTGGCGTGGCGTGAATTGCGATTTATCGATTGTTATGTCATTTAAACCTACGGTAAAGAATCGATTATTAAGGTGTTCACGGCAAACACCCTGTTCATCGATCCTTTTCCATAGGTTTAAATGGCAAATCAATCGATATATCGCAATTCACGCCACGCCACTGATATCTGTCCTCGTCAGACTGCGCGCCTCGCTATTTTCTTTGCTTAAAACATAGTTGACAGTTTCCTTCGCCGAAATTCATGCGCGTAGCAGTTTCCCGCTGGAAGAATAACGCGTTTCATAGTTTTATTTACGAAAAATAGCGCTGCTTTCACATTTTTCCCCTTTTTGGCTGCCTCCATTTTTTGCGCTACCGACCGCAATCCAGTGGCGTGGTGTGGATTCCGAAGTGTTGATTGTTATGCCGTTTATACCTATGGTAAAGAATCGATTATCAAGGGGTTCGCTGCGACCACCCTGTTTATCGATCCTTTTTCATAGTTTTAAATGGCATAACAATCGATAGATCGCAAAGTACGCCACGCTACTGCCGCAATCGGATCGGTCGTTCGGTCGGCTCGCAGAAGTTTTGCACACCTTTAATTGGACTGCATTTTGCAATTTGGAATTATAAATTCTGGCTCTCATGGAAAAACACTCATGTGCATAGGAAAACTAATGGCGCATACGTTGTTCTTAATTCGTGCTAGAATTTATAGTTCCAAATTGCAAAATGCAGTCCAATTCATGAAAACTTGTCACCCTGGATTTTCCGGTAATTCGATTTTAGAGATCGATGAGTAAGACTTAATTTCGCCCCCAGGACGTCAATGCCACCACCGCTTTCATACTTCAGAAAATTTGATAACCATCGGTGATTTCAGTTGTTACGCTTTTTCATCGTTCCCTACAATCTATTCCGATTTTAAATCGACCCTAAAAAAAAATCGATGCCGTCATTTCGATTATTTTAGTTTAATAATCGATGTTTCGAAGAAATCCGTTTGAAATCCTCAAATCCTAGACCCTTAAGACGCAGATACACCTGCGAATTAGAAGCGCTTGTTGAAAGTGAAACACCAATAGGAAAGGAAGATTTCGATAGCTTGACGTCGAGTGATCGAAATTCCGGTTTCCTATTGATGAAGAAAAAAAAAAAACACTAAGAAGCGGCCCGAACTGTATGTAACAAGGTGGAGAAATGGTGCTGGGTCCACACCATTCCGCGGGGTAAACAAAGACAAGAAGTTCCAAAAATTAAACAAGCGCTTCTAACTCGCAAGTGTATCTGCCTCTCAAGACGCAATCGGCGCACATACAACTACTCTAAAGCAGTTGCGAGGCGTGAATGATCGATTATCGATATTTCCCATTCGAAGCTATGGTGTAAAATCGATTATATAGGTGTTCGTTGCGAACATCCTGTTTATCAATCCTTTTCCTTAGGCCTTGTCTCCACGAGCCGTTTCACGAGATTTGTCCCAGGGAAAAATCCCACTTACGAAGTTGGGAAAAATATTGAGTTAATCAATATTTTTCCCAGTACCAAGTATGGTACTGGTACCCCTAGGACCCACTGAGAGAAGAAGAAGAAGTGAAAACGAATTGTGCGATATTTTATTCATTACTACATTGTTAATGTTTGTTTGTTAAAATAATGTGTCTAATTGTCAATTGAGTGCAATTATTACTTTAATCCCGGTGAAACACTCGACTTTAACCAATTTATCTTCCCGCGAAAACTAGTCGCAGGACTGTATGAGCCCCGTCCCGTGGAGACGGTAAATGGGAAAAATCCCAGAAGTTTCATTCCTGCGATTCGAACTTGGGACAAATCCCATGAAAACGTCCCGTGGAGACAAGGCCAAAGGCCATAGGTTTAAGTGGCGGATCAATCAATATATCGTAAAGCATGCCACTGCTCGGAAGTACGCGATGATTTCACTTGATCGATCGTGTTTCATTTCGGGACGGCAACTTGGACTGGAGCAGTCGGTGTGCGCGCAGAATGTGTGAATGAAAAACGAGCCTTGAAAGTCCGTAGTAATACGCTGGAAATCGAATAAGGTCATTGTTTACGAGACATAGACACGTGCACACGTGTGAGCGTAATCGAGGCGGCTGTAATTGCCGCGAGGATGGCCCAGCGTCCTCGACCGGCGCACACTGGATCGAGTCAATTAGAGAGGTCGGACGTTTAATCTTTGACAAAAACTGCGAATTTTTATATTTATTCCGTCATATTTTAAACTTTATGAGGTGGTTCGTGAAGAAAATTTTACGAAAAAACCAATGAAACTACTTTTAGAACCTCAAAGTTTTGTATAAACGGAGTTATAACCGTTTAAAGTTTCCAAATTTCGTCCGAACTTTCCTATTGACTCGATCCACTGTGCGGCGGCGGCGCGGTGCCGACTCGAGATCTTTTCAAAGAACCCTCCGTTTTTTTTAAATGATTTTCCAAATGCCGGGAAGGATTTTTTTTTTTTTGTATGCCTTTTGCATCCGGAAAGGAGTATTACGCGACGTTCAGTGGCGGTATTACGAAGATCGTAATACTGTAAAAAAAAGTTACGGGTTATATAGACGTCCGTTCCGGACACCCGGGCAGGGTGTCTACAAGTCCGGAAAATCTGGAAACGGTACCGATTTTTTGAGGGCGGTCCGGAAGTACTGTAAAAGCGCAGAAATTCCGCAAGAAGGTCCGGATTTTTTTCATTTTTGTCGCAATTTGAGCGAGAAATTCAAATTTTTGAAATTTTTTCTAATTTCGTCAAACGGAGGCGCTGAAAAAGTACTGGATATTTCTTTTGAGGGGGTACCCTATTTCTTGGGAATGTACCGAAAAAGCACTGTATAAGTACTAATTTTTGGGAAATGTCAAGGGATTTCATTTTCTAAATTCTGTGGCAACCCTATTCTTTCTTCCCTTTTTATTTCCTCCCGTTTTTCTTCCTCCTTTCGGGGGAACGAGCGGTTNGGGGGGGGGGGGGAAGGGAGGTTGAAGTTACGCTATGTTATCCGCCAATCCGCAATCATCATAGCTGTTCGGTTAGAAACCGGATAGAGCTTGAACTTGATAGATGCCGTATCGGGTCGTGTTTTACGCACTGTGTCACTTTGTTTTTGTTTTGCTGCGAGGCTTCGCGTCTCGCTTTCAAGGGCAAAACATCAAAATTCGGTTGATCTAGTGCGGCGGAAGAAGATTCCGGATCATGAAATGGTTACTGTCCACTTGAGTTCAAGCTGAGAGCGTCAGGTATTAGACCTACCTCTTTACACCTTTCGAAATGACGGAAAGCAGGTCAACGAAGGAGCGTTGCGTGGTTATCAATCGGTGCATCTTTACGCTCCAGGGAAACCACTGAGGAATATTGCTGAGGAAAAACGCCGTATGAACCTTCAGGCGTTGCCAAATTTCCTTTGATAAAACACCAATTTTCTGATAAAATAATGAATACTTTCCTTCCAATTTTTCAGATAATTTTGTTAGCAATTTCACCTAAAGGTCCACCAGGGTGACCTAAGGGTTAGTTAAATCTTCAAATAACCATAACAATAATAATAATGGAGAAGCTTCACTTGAATCAGAAGCACATTTGGAATTAAAAATTCGAATGTGCTCCACAAAATCGGCTGAAAAATGAAAAAAATTCGTTAGTTTATCCTCGAAAAAATTGTAGGGAAGTAGGAGAAAACTCACTCGTAAGTCTCTCATCAGGGAATTGGCTTTTGAAAATCAGGGAAAGATGGATCAGATTTTTTTTTTTTTTTTTTTTTTTTTTTTTTTTCTTTTTCTTTTTAAGTTTAGAAAAATGGCGAGAGTGATGACAGAGGAAAGGGTTTTCTGAAAGGAAATTTTCAATTGCAGAGTGATGTAGCTCTCGCGGTGACGGCACTAAAACAAAAAGTGCTTCAACCATAAATCATCCCCTCCCCCACGGTAGCTAACGGCTGTTTTTTAATTAGGAACTTTGAAACGCTGAAATCAAGGTTGCGCACTTGTCGACTTCAACCATCGATTTGCTTTTCGTACCGTATATCAAAGAGAAAATGAGAGGAACTTAAAGAACCCTCCTTTAATCGCAGCCTCAGATGGGAATCAGCGCGATTTGACAGTGACGCGCCTTCATTTTCGTGCGACACCTCCCGCATTGCCGCGAAGTTGATTTAGTTGCGTGACCTAACCCAACCCAACTCGAGTCCTCAGTGGCAGCTCCACACCTTGGAGACAGATTTATATAAGATCGGGAGCATTAATTGAAGTGCATCAATGCCGGAAGTAAACGAACATCCTGATACCTACCATAGTCTGCTGCACTACTGATTTCGTTTTCGATTTTAGCTACCTTCGGCCACGATATCAATTTTATAGGAGCATTTTGCGGATGGCGCCTGTCGGAATGGATTACTGTCGAAAGCTCTGAGGGGACCAGAAATCGCCCCTTTGGAATGATTTTAAACTCATAATTTTTTTTTTTTTTTTTTAAATTTACGAATCTATTTAAACTTATAATTTTATGTTGTTTGTTGCAGGATCTGACAGGCCAGAATAGTAATGACAGCTGCAGTGGGAGTGGGGCTGCTGGTCCGGGCACGCCTAATTCTCAGGGGATGAGACCAACCCCATCGCCGACGGGCTCCTCAGGTTCACGATCCATGTCCCCCGCAGTCGGTAAGTCTCCATCATATTTCTATGCGTTCTCCATACATTATTTATCATAATATATTCTCAAAATATATTTATAATTGTTTATGAAGCTGTAAAAAGTGCGTAGCACGTGGAGTCGCCCATTTGAGGGGGTGAAATCTACCAATTGTTTTCTGCTCCTAAAAATGAAGGGCACCAGTTCAGAGTTTTTTAAATTTATTTTTGGGGCCTCTTTGCGTCAGTGTTTCAAAATTCCTCCCAAATGAGTCCACAATCCGGCTGAACTCCGCGAGTTTAAATATTACAGCTTGACACAGCGGAGCCGCATGCTGCCAGCGCAAAACGCGCACTGGCGCCTACAAACCTAACAGGGATACTTCACGCATTGCGCAATGCGTGAAGTATCCCTGTTAGGTTTGTAGGCGCCACATTTGCGCTAGACGGCCACCGTCCCTCGGCGCCTCAAGCAACTATTTCACAACAGAGGTGTTGCACAGTATCATACGATGTTGAAGACGCTCCAACATATTAAGATTAACACTCACACACACAGAGCAAAAAACTCCCGCCATGGACGCCGTACTTACGGGCTATATTGGCATATTGTCCGCGCCCCGGGCTCGGAGACCGGAAGTCCCGGCCTACTCGAAGCAGTTTGAGCTACGGCTCCAGAACGCGGAGTTCTTTGCCTCTTTGGTATGCCTTTATAGCCCGTAACTTTTTTTTCAGTGTAGGTTTCGGAGAGTGTTTTCAAATTATGTACGAAGATTTTCGAAAATTAAAGGCGGGACTGTAGGTCTCGAAGCCGCCTCGCGGGGCACCTTCGTCTGAGCTTAAAATGGACGTATCTCTACTAAAAGGAAGGAACCGTGTCACACGCAAACGCTATGCACATAGTTTCATCTAGCTTAAATACGTCTGAATAATAGTAATTTTCAAAGAAAGTATTTCGTTTTCTCCTGTAAGAACTTGTAAACTTGGGGCTGTTTCCGAGTAAAATTTGAAATAGCCAGTTCAATCATCGGGAGCGTTACGAAGCGACGGCATCTGTGGTCTTGGGCTCCAGGATTGCAGGCTGTCTCAAACGGGCGGGAAGATATAATACCGTCAGCGGGCTGATTATGGAAATTGATCGACAAAGCTATAGACAGAGGAGACAAAAGAGTTATGGAGAGATCCTATCTGTGAAAGGGGGTGGTTGCAATGGACAAAGGAGGTAGGTAATAGACTAACTAACGGCAACCCACGAGAGACCCGACAGTTAGTCTATCATTTTCCCCCTTAGTCTATGAGAGCCAACCCATTTCAACCAATAGGATTGCTGTATACCCCCTATGTTTTCTTTGTCTATAGCTTTGTCAATCAATTTCAATAATCGGTCCGCAGGAGCCTTTTTCGCAATCCGCCGTCAACTCATTCCCGGATTTCTTCCCATCTTCCCTACCTCTCCTCTCATCTTGTTTGCGGGGGTGCAGAAAGTTCTTCGCCCACATTTTTGGAGGCAATTTTTCAAGTTGCCCTCCCGAAGCTGTCCACACAAGACTTGCGCGCTTCCTTCACATAAAAGAGCGCGCTTGACCGTTTCTCTCGTATAATATGAGAGCGCGTTACATCGACTCCTTCGCCAGAAACCACGCGTAGTCGGTTTATGCCTCTTGCCTCCCCCCCCTTCCCCTTTTCAGGTGCCTTCGCGTTTGCTCCGTAGTCGGCGGATCGAGTTTTTTCTGCGCCCCTGCCGGCCGATTATTGAAACTGATAGACAAAGCCATAGACAAAGAAGGCAAAAGAGATATGGAAGGATCCTATCGGTGGAAACGAGTGGTTGCAATGGACGAAGGAGGTAGGTAATAGACTAACTATCGGCAACCCACGAGGGACCCGATAGTTAGTCCATAATTTTCTCCCTTAGTCTATAGGTACCACCCATTTGAACCAATAGGATTGCTCTATACTCCCGGTGTCTTCTTTGTCCATCGCTTTGTCTATCAGTTTCAATATTCGGCCCGCTGCACCGTTTGCTCCCTGTCGTGTCCTTGGTTCCCTGGTCTTTTCTAGTCGATAGTCTTTCAAACCGGTGAAAGTTGAGTCATGCTGCCGTTGGCGTTTTCCACCGAGTCCGAAAACTGAAGCCGATCAAACGGCGCCCTACCAAAGGACTTCAGGGTTTCTACCTTATCCGGTGCCCAGCCCATGCTCTACCTTAAAAGGTACTTGAAGTGTACGTATGCACGGCTTAAATCGCCGATGCCCCCAGCGCAATGCTCCCGGGCGAGGCACCTCAATCGGGGAGTCACCCTTCTTCCGATAGAATGTGATTACTCGATTTTCCATCGGTTCCGGAAAAGGTGAGGTGAAGACGGAAGCCTCGATGACGGCTTTATTTTATTGGCTGCCTCTGTAACACCGACACCGTATGGCATTGGGCCGTGTCGCGAGGGAGGGCCGAGGGCATCGTCCTAGTCGTCTCGCCGCCGCGCCGTACGAGTGACCTGCTTTTTCTCTCGCACTCAAACTCCTGCCCCTGCCTAACCCGCCACCCTCACCCCCTTCCCCCCCCTCGCCCGCCGTCCCGCCTTACTCCGCTCCGCGCATCACCGGTGGCCTCTCCTCCAACCACCGCCGCCGCCACCACATCACCCCAATTTTCCATTGACCTTGGCTTCTATCAGCGCCTCCTCCCCCTTCCACCTCCATCTCCTTTCATTGGCGGAGTGCGTCGCGCTTACATATTATGTCGAACTTTTCATTCAAAACTTGGCAGGGGTGTGGCTCACGAGCTCCGCAACTTTCCTTTGACGCGGAGCAACCCTACCCCCACCCTCATCCCCATCCCCATCCCTCTTTTCGCGGCGGTGGCTGTGTTCAGCTGTGATCCGATGTTGTGCGGGTCAATGCTCTCGGTCGCCTCTTCTGCTTGCCACTCGCTTGTTCTGCCGTACTGAGGAAAAACGCCGTATGAACCGTCAGGCGTTGCCAGCTTTCTTCTGATAAAGCACGAATTCCCTGGGAAGCTTGTGGATATTTTTTCTTCCAATTTTTCGGGTAATTTTGTTCGCGTTTTCATCTAAAGTTCCTGAAAATTTCAAGGAAAAATTTGCATAAGTTTCTTCAGAAATGAACGCTTTATCGAGGGAATTTCGGCAACTCTCGTATGTTCGTACGGCGTTCTTCCTTAGCACGGCGGAGTTCTGGTGTTCATCTGCAAGGGTAATTGGGGGAGGGAGGGCCATTCATGCGAAACAAGTGTTTTCACGCATGACTCACATTACCGGTAGTTTTTATTTTGCCACTCTATTTTACTACCGAGTGCTTGCACCATTCGACCAAGTAATTTTTCATTTCCTCCAAGTTTTATAATCAGTCGAGTTGGTGCAATCGTAACAATTGGACGTATCTCTGCCAAACGGAACGATGGAATCATGACGTTAGCCCTGTTATGCATATATTCTTATGGGCCTCAGGGTTCATGTCTCAATTCACATAGCTCCGTTTGGCAGAAATACGTTCAATTGGCCGGCAGCATGGGCATTATTTACAGTGGCGTGTCCTTTATTAGATGTTGAGTTTGGTCCTTCCTTCCGCAAATTTTTCAAAGCTTCAGGAGTGCAGGTAGTTCCGCGATCCGACGACTTTGCCTCTCGGTCATAATTTCGATTCGTCTCACCGCCAATCGTCTAATTTCAAGGGCTGTTTATAAAATAAGTATCGCTTTAGAAGGAGGGGGGGGGTGAAAAGTTCGAAATTCTGTGTTATGCCCCGGGCACACGTTCGAAGTGAAGCTCCTTAGTGATGGCCGTTCACTCGTTCGGTCAAGTGTTGCGCATCGATGCTGCGAGGGAGAGCGGGTCGCTTGGCAGACTTAAGGTCGTAACTACACCTAAAGATGAGCCCGGGGAAGTATTGAGTCATGTGGAAAACAGGGTTCATCTCGAAGTATAGTTGCGCTCTTATGCCAGGAGGGCGACGATTTGGTTGAACAGTCACCACTTTAAAACTTCAGCGTGCGTCCAACCCTCCATACGTATCTTACGAACGGCCTCTTACGACCAAGTGCCCGATTTCACGATGAAATCCTAGAGATTTGCCGTTCTTGCCATGATTAAGGGTTGCCCCAATCAGGGAATACCGGGAAAAGTCGTCAAATCACCCTCATTTGCTCTCTCGAATGGGTTTGAAAGGGTTGCCACAGTCAGGGAAAACCGGGAAATGTCAAGGAAAATGACGAAAATGGCAAAAATGTCCGGGAAAATTTGTTAAATCACCTTCATTTGCTTTCAAGAATGGATTTGAGATTTCGAACAGCAAATTTTGCCTGAAAACTATTTTCAATTATGCCTTCTTAACCATCCGTCACATCTTCGATTGCCAGGGAATTCCACCAAAACGTGTCAGGGAAATGCCAGGAAATTTCATTTTGCTAAATTCTGCGGCAACCCTGGTTTGACGACTCGAACGACAAATTTTGCCTGAGAACTTTTCCTAGTTATGTCTTTTCAACGATCTGGCATTTGTCCAATTGTCAGGAAATTCCGCCAAAATGTGTCGGGGAAACCAGGGAAATGCCAGGGAATTTAATTTTCAAAATTCTGTGGGAGCCCCGGATTTTGGAAGTTGTCAGTTGGAGCAGTTGCATTGATGTACGATTCTAACCTTTCACTGTGTGGTTTTTTACAGGTCAGCAAAACATTCCGATGCCCCCGCGTCCCCAAAGTGGTCAGTCAGAGGCCGGACCCCCCTCTCGTCTCAGTCACTCGCCCATGGCTACCCAAGGTAATCTTTCAGTTGGTCTTTTACCATCTCCGTTTTATATCTTCAAAATCACCCGAAATAATAGGTCTGAAATGCGCTTACAGTAATATGAAATGTCTTCGCGGCTACCGGATAATACTTCCGTGCTGAGGAAGAACGCCGTATGAGCCTTTGGACGTTGCCAAGTTTCTCTCGATAAAAACCGAAATTACTGGGAAAACTGTGAATATTATTTTACAAAATTTTCGGACAATTTTGTATGCAATTTAATCTAAGCGCCGCAGACCCTTCCTCCGATCTGAGTATTAATATGCTTAACTTCCATAACTTCGTAAGCACTCGGAATATTACTAATTTCGGAGTAAAATTTTGAAGAGCAGAATAACCAAATTCGAAGGATTTTTACGAATTTCGACTGTTTTGCCGGCCAATTTAAAATTCGTCAAAATGCTTCGACCTATGCTGAAAAAGGTGCTTTGTCAAAGTAAACTTTCAGTTTGCGTTGGGTGCTCAACGCAAACGGATTTCGCGTGACCGTTGACTCACCCGTTGGGAAGCGCGTTGTTGGTCGTCTCTGTTGACCAGGGTGGTATGAAACGTAAGAAATTAATGAAAGATTGAAAATTTCAGTGAAATATTTCATGAGATTTCACGAGGCTGCGAGAAATTTCATATTTTTCAGGGGCTAGTGTATGCAACCCGCACTCAAATATACAAAAATAGAAGAAAGTCGCAATTTTTCATTTTTGCGCGACCTGAAAAGGAACGGTTATTTTTCAATATCTTTCATAAATTTCTGAAATTTCACTAGAAATTTCTGACATTTCACAAAAAATTTCAATCTTTTATTTTTTTGAAATTTTTCCACCCTGCTTTTGACTTGACTAGCTAGACACTCTGTCACGGCGTTCACGATTACATTTAAAGGTAAGCTCAACGCTTTCATCTTCCTCCTGAGATCGATTACTTTTTGACTTCCACTCGGTAAACAGTCCAGGATTCGGACAATCCAAGCGGAGTCTAACAGCGCCGAGCGTATGGAATCGGGTAATTCCGTTGCCCAACGCTCCCGAACAGTTTACTTGGACGACGCAGCTCTATATCCTTTCATAATTTTACTTTGAACCCGAATTCGGGGTGAAGTGAATAATTTTCCTCTTACTTTACTAGTTAAGCCTCCAGCTCAGCGCTGGCAGTTCTCGCAAGCTTCTCGACGAAAAAAAGGGCCACCGATCTGGGCCTCCATTGTATTGTACCGAGTGAAGACTCCTCGTAATGTAGCGTTGTAATGTATTTTCATGATGTCGTGTCGCCTGCATAAACGCTTCCGTTTAAGCCTGTATTGTCGGAATAGAGCGGGCTGTGCAGGTGTAGCGGCCGCAGACGGCACGTCTTGCATAATGTAAAAGCTCCCTTTACTCGAGCGCCTCTGTCGACGCACAGTGGATCCAGTCAAAAGATCGTTTTCGATAGTGGTTCGATGTATCGTTTGTTTCAAAACAATAGAACGTAACCTCAAACAAAGCTTTCAGGATGTCAGTCGGAAAAGCTGAAAATGAGAAAATTCCTAACTATTTCACCCTGCGATGCCATTTAGTACTCATAAGAATCAAAAGTCTATCAGAAAAACCCCGTTTCCTCAGATTACTCGATCGACTTCTGAGGCTATGTTTACACGTTGAACCAATCGATATCGGCACAATCTCACCTATTTGATGTATCGAAAACTATCTATAGGAGAAGTCGGATTAAATCTGGAAACTTTGAAAGCTTATTTTCTCGCAAATGTGAAACAGAAAAGTTTCAGAGTTGTTTCCATTGGTTTTCTCGTAAAATTTTCTTTCCGAAACACCATCTGAGATTCGAATTTGTGACCAAATAAACATAAACATTTGAAATTTTAGCCAACAATTTAATGTCCGATCTTCCGTATTATAGTTCGCTCCACTGTGCGACGCCTCTTGAAGCGCGTCACTGGAAAACTATCTTCATCGGTACATGAATTGGTACCATATCTGTTGTAATAGTAGCGGTTGAGGAGTTTTTAACTTCTGAGAAAACCGCGGCTGAAGTTTTAAACTTGACTTACCGTGGTTTTCTATTTATTTTTCGCTGGAAAATCGGGCATAAGTCGAAGCAGGTCAGGGCAAAAGGGTATAATTCAAGAAAAATCCTCCTTTCCTAAATGTTTTTAGAAACTTTTTGAAGAATTCGTTTAAAGCTGTCCACAGTGAATTCAAGAAGAAGACAATATCTGCGGATTTTACAGAGAAATTATTCTGTATGCGTAGAACCAGGCCCCTAAGTTGAGTACTGGAGGTGAATGGTTTTCACTATCGAACTGCGAAATGCAACTATGACAAAGTCACGGAGTCACTAATTCAGTCAATGGATTGTAGTATTGTTTACAAAATGCTGCGAAACTAACTTTTCAAGGATAAAAACTCGCTTCAAGGTTCACTTTCAACTCTCGTAAGCTGCAGTTAAAATAAATAACAGCCCTGCGCTTAAAGCTTGAACTGACGATGAGTTTATGAATAATCTATACTATAAGCTCCGAGGCCTCCTAATTTTGCGAAACTGGTAACGCTTAGTTCCAGCGTTCTACCGGGCCGATTTTTATGATTTTTGCGGCTATCGACGGGCAATTGTCTCTAGATAAGCCAACTCTTTTCAGATTTTCAAAATATGGCCCAGGTTTTTTTATATTAAGTGGTAAAGTTGCGAATTCTCCCATTTAAACAATGTAAATTTATATTTTTTGTCATAGTTCGTTTGAGCGTTCTACCGGGCCGATTTCCAAGTTTTTTGCGGTAATCGACGGGTAATTGGCCCTAGATGAGCCCGCTCTATTCAGATTTTGGATATAGGACCCAGGTTTTTTTACAATCACGTTATAAAAGTGAGTGAATTTTCAGAATGCTCCGAGACTGCTACCGCTATGCGCGGGAGGATGCGCAGTGGTCGAGGAGGTTGCGCAGTAGCTGTGTAGCCTGCGCATCAGCTCTACACTTATCTACACAAGATTCGCAATATTTACTTCAAGACGAGCGGTGGCCGAGTCGTCAAAGACGTCGGAAGCGTCCACTCTGTTCATGGTGTGGGTTCGAACCCCGTCTCCCGATACACTTAATTATTACCTGATTATCAATATTCGTTGTTTTACTGCAATATTTCATCAAGCAGTCATTCCAAATCGCGCCCTTTAGACTTCAAAAAAAATGTTTGTTTCTTTATTCATCAAAACCAAAAGTTATTTCATTCTAAATGTAAAGTACACCTCATATCGTAATTTTTTAGGGGAAAAATAAATAAAACTAACACCGATAGGAGGGTAAAAATAGGGCCGCGAAGCGGCCCATTGATGGCGCGGAGCGCCTTCAGGGGGTTGGGCCGCGTAGCGGCCAGGGGGCGTAGCCCCCTAGTATAGCACTGAGCCGGAACCTTCAACCGAAAGCTAATAATGGGTCAGTTGCGCTCGTCACAGATTTTTTCTTTTTTTTTTGATGCCCGATTCTTGGAGATAAGCTGTAAATAATGAGATCCATCCAAACCGCAACTTCCTACGTTCAATATTAACCGAGATATCGCCCTTTGGAAAGTCAGGTTTTTGACGTCATCCACCACGGCAGTGACACCCTTGGGTTCTTCTTCTTTTGTTCGATCAGTGATGCAGAGGATACAACGCGAAACTTCAGCGACGATAAACGTAAACCAACTGAGGTGAACTGACTCACCGCTTCATCTCTTCGCGGCGAGTGCGTTATCTCATGATGAGAAGATCTTTAAAGTGCAAATCCGTCTGTTTCTTGAGTTTGTTTACGTTTAACGTCGTTGAAGTTGAGCGTTGCACCCTCTGCATCGCTGATCGAACAAAAGAGGATGAAATCAAGGGTGTCACCGCCGCAGTGGATGACGTTAAAGACCTGACTTCTCAAAGGGCGATATTAACGCGCAAAATTGCGGTTTGGACAGATGTCATTAGTTTTCGCCAATCTACAAGATTCAAGCATCAAATCACCATTCAGTGACCTGCGCAACTGACCCATTTTTGCGTATTTTACGCGAAGAGGATGGAATGGGCACGTGTCTTTTTGTGAATCAACAGAGGATTAAGTGTCAGGCGCGATGTTTTAACGAGAATAAAGGACCTGGGGCCTAGGGAGACGAGGTCCTGAACCTCGTCTCCCATTATTGCAGGATGAGTCAACCCCGGTTGGGCTCCGACAGGTGTCATTCAAGGGTTGCGTCGCACCGGTTCCCCCGCGTGGTCTGCATCGTTGCCTTTCTTATGTTTTTATTTCCAACTCTGCCGTGCTAAGGAAAAAAGCCGTATGAGCCTTCAGACGTTGCCAAATTTCCTTCGAAAAAAACTGAAATCACGGAGAAATTTGTGAATATTTTTTCTAAAATTTTCAGACAATTTTGTACGCAATTTGACCTAAAATATCTGAAAATTTCAAGAAAAAATGTGCTTGAATATAGTAAAAAATACATCTTTTACAGAGGGAAATTCGGCAACTCTCGAATGTTCATACGGCGTTCTTCCTTAGAACGGCAGAACTGTCCGCCGCACTATTTTTTTACACTCAAGTTTGGAATTTACATCCTTGTCGCGCGCGTAACCGGATGTATATCCTTCGCGAGCTCCCGCAAAATGCACCACTCTGCGCGAAGACAGAATGATGGACTAACGTTTCAGGGTGGCTACTGGTCCGAAAAGTCGGAAAATAATTTTGGTATTTTGAAGGCGGTCCGGAAGTATCGCGAAAGTCCGGAAATTCCGCAGAAAGGTCTGGGAAGTCCGGAAATAATATTGGTATTTTATATTTTTCGACCTAAATAACGCTTGAATATTTATATAACTTGTTGATACAAGGTATACTGAACCGAAAAAAGAAAACCGCAAAATCGGATGGTCACCCGTTTCCCTCGAAATGGCCAAAAATTGGTATTCTCAACGAAATACTTCGATTTTCCCCTTTTCCCGTCGCTGTTTCGAGCACTTCCGATTGCAATTTCGAAATTTCCTTTTGCGTGCAGATGCCTCTATCCATAAGTGTTACTAAACCGTGAAAAAGTGAACATCGAAAAAAACCCGAGTTTGTGTGTTTTCGAACTCACTGATTCATTTTTCTGATGAGGCGCTACTGAATTTTTTTGGAAAAGCACTGTAGAAGGACTAATTTTTTGCCAGCCAGTTTTCGTAGACACTCCGCGTTGTTCTCATCTTTACAAGGTGCCGTTGTTCTCTAGTCTTACTAGAGATCCTAGGAGAACTTGCCAGGCGTGTCGTATAAGCTCGATCGACCGTCCCGTGGCGTTGCCAAATTTGCTTTGATGAAACACGAATTTCCTGATTAACTTATGAATCTTTTCCCTCCAATTTTTCAGATAATTTTTTCTTCACAACTGCATTTAAAGTCCCTGAAAACCTCTAGGAAAAATACTCGTAACTTTTCTTTAAAATACAAATTTTATCGAAGGAAATTTGCAACTCTCGAATGTTCATACGGCGTTCTTTCTTAGCACGGCGTACACTTTGGCAGGCGCAGTATAGGCAATTTGCACATCGGAACGCATTCGTTACGGTGTAGCGTTGGAAGTAGATCCACGATGTTGAAGGCGCTCTACGCGATGGGCTCTTTTATTGATTTTATTGCCTCCCTCAATTCGAACTCGCGGCGTTTGCGACCGAAATGATAATAATATCCGAAATGCGACCTCCTTCGTTTCTGTTGAAGGCGGTGCCAATGAGGTTCTTCCAGAGGTCTTCTGAGGTTAATACTGAAGTGCAGAAAGTGTCCTGTTGCGTAAAAGTTGTGGGAAATTCCGCAGTATCGCTCGGAATGCTTTCCTGGAACTCTCGGGAACGCTCCGGCTCGGCGATGGTTCCCAATGCGCGCGGTACCAATACCGCTAAGTAAGAACGCCGTATGTATGAACCTTCAGGCAACGCCATATTTCCTTCAATGTAAAACGAATTTATCGGGAAAAATAGTGAATATTTTTCTTCTAATGTTTTTTAGACAATTTTGTTCGCAATTTGATTTAAAATATCTTAAAATTTTGAAGAAAATCATGCATAACCCTCCTGAAAAATACATGTTTTGTCCGGGAAAATTTAGCAACTCCCGAATGTTTATGCGGCGTTTTTCCTTAGCACGGTAGAATAGAGGGCAGAGAGTTTTCACAATGGATCACTAGACAAGGTACGAATTTAAGCATTCCGGTACATGTTTCTCAACCAAAATTTCACGTAGAACACGATTCGCGCAACGAAAATTACTGAAACCAACTCCTAACGAAGATATTAACCTTTTCATTTCACATTGGTTACGAGGAATTTGAACTGCCCGCTCACAAGAAACTCAAAGCTCTACGTGAGTCAAATCGCGCACGACAACGGTCTCAGCAAGTTTCTTAATCGAGCAATATTCATTTCCCACCTTGTGTTGTTCGAACTATAGGCAATTTGCTATAGCTGAGCCAAAGCGTCAAGATTGAGGTTGCCAGATTTTTACATCGCGCAGAGACTGTCATGATAACGTTTAGCGCGCGATGTGAATCACGTAGAGCATTGAGTTTTCATGAGCGGGTGGTTTGAATTCACGCATCAAGAATCATTAAATATCGTTGTGATGAGTTGATTTCGATAATTTTCATTGTGCGCATCGTGCTCTACGTGAAATTTTGGTTACGGATCATATATCAGAGTGCTGAAATTCGTCCCTTGTCTAGTGGTCCATTCTATTAATTAAATTAAAAAAAGGGAAGCAAAAAAACTATTAATTAAGTACGATTATCAAAGACGCGCACCGAGCCGGCTGATGATATCCCCCCCCCCTCTCCCTCCACCAATTCTGAATTATTTTCAAGACGGTTATGTCGAATGCCGTCCCTGGTCAAAAATGTAGAAATTCTGAATTTTTGGAGGAATGCAGGTGTCCTGAGCTTCAATTCGGTTACAAAATATTGAAAAGCGACCCAGTGGCAAAAGACATGCGAAGATCAATAGCCAAGTCAATCAAAACTTTGCAAAGTCGGTTTTTATTGTGGAACCTTGGATTTTTCTCCTGCAGCCAAAACTTTGAATGTTTTCGATTTCAAGAGTTGTGTATTAAATTGTTTTTGGAATTAATTTTAATGAAAAATCATGAAAAAAAAAAACTTAAGAAAGGATAGGAAATTCTATGTCCCTAATTCCTGATAAGTTGGGGAATTTTAAAATCGTAGAAAATTTGTCATCCTGATTCACTTACAAAGTACCTGTCGAAATTTGTTGTATGAATAATAAAACTGACGAATATAGAGATGAATTTTTGCAAATTTTTACTATCTAGAGTTTTGATTTCTTGTTCTATCTGTTAGCAGGTGCATACCAGCAGTCAATAGCACCCCCACATATGCATAGTTATAAAATTGGCGGTCCTGGAGGACCACCTTATTCTCCTCAACCTTCTCAACAACAACAGTATCCTCCTGGTAAGTTTCATTTACTATTTTTTCATTTCAGAGTGACTAAAACTGATCAGAAATGTTCGATGAATTTTATGAAGGAAGGATTAATGCTCGTCAAAAATATATGTAAAATAAAACCTCGAGTCCTTCAGGTTGTCTCGTCCGTTAAGGCCCTGCTATCCATTTGGCCGAATTCCTGTTGAACTTCTTTAATGAACCTGAGGAATAAAGTACAGTTAGAGCATGATCTCACATTTTGTCAACCAAGTTTCATTGAAAAGACCGTTCTCAAGATCTCTCTTCTTAACTCTCTCTTCTGAATTTTAAGGCAAGTTTGCTGGTTCAAAAGACGTTTCTTACTTTCATGAGAACAGCCCACTCAATAGAAATATAGAATCCAGTAGAGACTTGCATATACGTCTCGTGTTCTGTTACCTTTAAATCAGACACGTTAACAAGTAGGATATAGGTATTGCACTCATTCAGCTAGTTGTAAATTCTACAAAAAAAAAAAAGAAAAAAAAGAAATGTACAAATGGAAGTAAACAGAATATTTAAAAAAATTCCATTGCCTCAAGAGTTTCAGACTTACTCCGTATTCATATGTTCTTTCGAGTGCCATGAATTATGTTGTTGTATTTGTGATGCTAGTAGAAAATTCATCTCTTACATCAATTTACCACAAACATAATGTAATGATCAACTTTATTAGGCTGCAGCTGCAAACCCAACGTGGCTTGTTTTTTGAGTCAATCTTACAGTTAGGCTGTAATTTTTCACACAATTTTAAACTGAACATAACATACTGTCTACCTTCGAACATTCCTCATGTCCAGGATCTCTGTTAGAATGCCTCCTTGACCCGTTTCCTTCTGAATAGTTGATCACACATCATTCCAAGCGGAAAAATTATTTAAAGTTTATTCTGTTTCCTGTACTAATTTTCTTATTGTGTTTCAGGTAATTATGGTCCTCGGCCACCCGGACAACTTAGTAATCTATCACAATATCCAGGTTTTCCTGGGCAAAGTCCTCAGCCTAATAATATGACTAGTCTACCTAATTCACCTTATCCGCCCAGACCTTCACCTAATCATGTGCCACACTCACAATTCTCAGGGTATCAGGTAAGGAACAAACATTTTATGCCTAAACTTTAGAAATAAGGCTGCAAAATAGATAAAATTGCAGCCGGGTAACTTAAGTGCTTTACAACTTTACCTACAGGGCTCCAAATTATCAGCTGATTTCGAATAGGAGACATTAAAAACAGCATCATCCGAGCATCTCAAAATTGATGCCCATGAGTGCCATGATGCCCATTTTTTTTTATAAAATCGTGAGGAAAGCAAGTGTTACCGATCCCCACCTCGGCTACAATGCATCATAGTTGGTTGACCGTCCTCTTAATATGGGTCTCAAATTGGCAGCACTGCGTATGAGTACTACAGCACTTTACCCACCCAGCTGTACTCTCATTAGTCACCGTGGTTACCAGTTGTCAGGAATTTAAATTCTGCCGCATCTGGCCTTCTGTGGTATTTTCAATTTAGGAATTTAAGTTCTGCTGCATCTGGCCTTCTATGGTATTTTCAATTTTATTGATCATACTTTCCTTCAAGCTGAAAACATTGACACTAAACACCAGACTGAGATTATCGTATACACACCTCAGTTAGATACCGAATCATCCCTAAGGATGTTCTGGTGGATATTGGCATTTCTTCTGCCCCAACAGATTAATTCTAATGAATAAATAGTGGCTCATATTAAAAGATATTGTATTTGCATGATGATAAAAGTATAGAGGCAAAGTAGCTCTTGTGCCTGGCCCAACTCAAGAGATAGCTCAAGATCTCTCATCCAAGCTTGCTTAATGTTTATTTTTATGGCTAGACATGGGATTGCTTCTTAACTGTTCCAGCCATCTGGCCTATTTTAACTTGTTATGGAAGCTTTTCAGAAAGTGACCTTATGTGAACATTTCTTTTCATGTGCTTTTCTCAATGCTGTGTGAAAATCCCTTTCAGAAGTTGAAAGAAGATCGAACAGACCTGAAGAATGAGAAGAAGGGGTTGTAAAATGAGATTAGGGCTTTGTATAGTTGCAAAAATTATGCCACCCTCTTCCTCTCAAAAACCCTCAAAAACTAGTGTCATATCGGTGAATGATCCAAAAGTCCATGTTTTGGTCCAAAAAGAAAGACAAGTTTAGGATTTGTTGATGTGTAGTATTTTAATGTGATAGGTATGACACATTAAAACAAAAAAAAATCTGAAAGTGCTTATTCCCAAATTTAGCTACAAAAATTGTGGAAGTGTGGGTCTAGAACACCCAGCTGAGACGCTCGGATAAATTGTGCATTAAATTGCTGAAAGGTACTTTTACCACCATGCCATTCCTGAATTTTGCAAGCACTTCAGAAATGTACAGTCTGATACCACCTTTCACTCGATAGACCTTTTGTATCATATCACTAACAGTGAAATAATTCATTTGCAGCAGGGCTGGGGTATGAATCAGAGCGGGAGTCCAGTTAGTAACCATATGCCACCAGCTTCATCTGGTGGAAAAGGTGTAAACCAGCAGCCGCCTGCATCACCTCAACAGCAGCAGGGAGTTGTGCCTCCGCAGCCACCTCAGTCACAGCAATCACAGCCGCCACCTCACTCGCCACAGAATCCCTCTGGTGGTCCTACTCCACGCTCTCATACTCCTCCTCACTATCTTAAGCAGCATTTACAGGTATGTACCTTTTAAATGCGTTCGTATCACACTGTTGTGTCTCTGGATCAATGCATGTCACTATGTTCTAGAAACAGAATGGCGTCCAGCATGTATTTTGGCAGAATAGTTCGTAACCAACGTTTCAGAATTTTCTGGAAAAGTATATTGAATTGCATTGTTTATAAACAAGTTAAATAATAGGTCTACTACCATCCTGTATGAGGCAATTTGTATTACTACCTTTTTTGTCTTGAGATAGCGTGAGAAAACCCCTTGCGGTCTAATTGCTTTTAATTTAATGCCCAATTTTTGAAATTAGGCACATCTTATTTAGTATCAGGTATCATTGCAGCATGCTTTGACTCATGAAAAGAGCTTCTTCTAAGCATTTTGAGACTGGAAATAACTCCAGGATAACAGCTAAAACGACATCTCTCTAACCTGTAACTTCCCCCAATAGCTGTTATCTCTTGTATAATGACCAAGTATTCAATTACAAATTGGGGAGCTATTATTGTTGTCAAACCTTGTTTTCACTGAGTTCTGTTCACCATTTCAATACCAAGTAGCGGGGTATTTAAACTGTGTAAATTAAAGTTTCTGTTTTGAGGAATACTCGAAGCAAAATATTTTAATTTTTTCAGGTTTTAATAGTTTAAAAATTATGACAGCTCCGTCAATTCTGTCCCTCGATTTTATCATCTCCGCAGGCTGTGGGCAAGTGCTGACCAATGGTATCCTCTGATATTTTTTTCTGCCAATCTTATTTAGAATGTCTGTGCTTGGCTTCTCTCAAGAAGAAGTAATGTCTGCTCGAAAAATATCAAACGATTTCCTTGAATTTCAGATCCGCAAGGACTCAAGAGGGTAAAAGATATGATCGACTCTTGTCAGGGGGATTTTAGAGATCAAGGTTTCAAATCTCAGGTGAAATTCTCCAGAAATCTGTTACAGTGAAGAAGTAGTAAATAGGTGATACCTAATTTGTATTTGCCCTCTGTTACAGCACAAAGTAGGTTATGGAAGTGGAATGCCTCCTAGTCCAGGGCCAGGCGGGTATGGAATGGGGCCTCCAATGGGACCACCCCCACCGCATAGTATGGCCCCACCCTCTAACAGTCACCATGACCCGAGCGGCCCACCAATGCCCCCGCCTTCCTCAGCGTCAAGTGACTCATCTGGAGATCTGCATGAAAGTCCTGTGATACCGTCCGGTAATATCATCTTGTACAAGTGTTGAAACTCAAATAACCTTTATATATTCTGCTTGGAATCAAGCTACTGTATAAGGAACTCATGATTCGAAATTTGATGAGGGTCAGGTTCAGTTTGTCTTTTACTGCCAGCTTTTGTTACGAAACAAAATGCCCTCCGTCTCCGGTGTGGCTTCAATATTCGATTCCCCATGTTGGCAGCACTGACAAACCACTTCAGAAGTTCTTACCCTTTTCTTGAGGTAGGCTCAAAAGCGGATGGATGCAAACATAGACCATAAATCATCAAACCTTTGACTGTAATCTTAAGTGGTTTTTTTTAAAATGAGTTGCAACCTTTTCTATCAGGCTCAAAAAAAGTGAACCATTTCTTATGGAATTGTAAGGATAGAACTAGGCACAGCTTTTTAGAAGAAACAGATGAATGCCCTGGCAGCAAGCATAGACAATTTGTTTTAAGTCTATTTAAAGTAAGTGAGGTAAAATTAAAGATTCAAGCTGAGAGAAGTAAAACAAACTAACTTCTCGATGTGGAATGATGAGTTAATCAAAATTTTTAAGTTTCTTGAATCCTAATTTTTAACCTTTGCTCAAACTGTTCATTGGCATCTATTAACATGAGAAGTTCTTGCTGGTATTCGAAATGTTCTTGCAGCCATCTTATTTAAGTTGTCCATAAGACCAAGTATTTTTTTCTTTTTCCTTTTGTTTTTTTGCACCAATACCTCACTAAAAACTAAAATCCAAAAATGGGAGAAAGGAAAGGTTGCACCTGAATGTTTTCGGTCATATTTCATGCACCAAGCTGCGCCTGTAACTGCAGCGAATAAACATGCACTGATCTGATGATTGGTGACTCTGAAAGAATGCCTTTTTCTGCCAATGCACAATGGTCACATGTGACTGACTCAGCCTATCAGGACACTTCACTACAAGTCACTAGTGAAAAGCACAGTGATTGTCGTGCCTCTCTCTAGTTAAAACTTAATCTCTAGCGGCAAATCTATGACTTTGTTTCAACTCATTAGTGTGTCTTTTATGATCCAGCTGGTGGTGGCGGCGTAACTTCAGTCGTAACGACAGGACCAGATGGTGCTCAAATAGATGAAGCAAGTCAACAGTCAACTTTATCAAATGCCTCTGCTGGTAAGTTTCTTGAAATAGTTTGTGCACAGATTTCATCGGACTCTTACATTTTTTCTTGGCTCTGTTTAGTACATGTTCAATTAGTCATAATTTCAATCAATGGACTTCTAGACAAGGTCTACATTTTAACTTTGTCACTGGAGTTCATACAATCCCACAAAAATCAACAAATCTACGAGTTTTAAATTGGCTGTTGATAATGAGTCTACTCTTTGAACAAAGAACTTGTCAGAGAGTATAAAACTGCCCCTCTTTCCCTCTAAAACTTTGTAACATGAAAATTTTACCAAGTGGAATTAGTACTTGGAGAAACCTGTCCCAACCCTTTCTTACAAATACACTTTGAAAAATGTTGGCACCTCTAGTAGTGTCAGAACAGATTTTGCACAAAATCAGTTATGTACTCACCATTCTGGCAAAACTAGTAAAACTAGTGACTATCAATTTGTAATAAACTAATTAAAAATAATTTTAATTCTTTTCAGCTTCTGGGGAAGATCCAAGTATGACACCGAAACGCAAAGAAAGTAACCAAATTTTTCATCCTAACACGTCGCAAGGATTGCCACCTTGTTCGCCAGGAGCTGCTAGTATCAATTCTGCGCATGAGGATTACCCTCCAGATAGTAGTCCAACTGGGTGGCCTCGGACTCCCGCATCTCCAGTGAGTATCTGGGGTTTTCTTCCTCTTGGAATTGTATCTCATTATGGCTTTGATTTGATCTGTAATTGATTCTTTCTTTTCCCTCGAATTTATAAGAATTTGAAATTAGTCAATTGAGGCCTATGGTTTTCACCTTTCGAACAGGAGTGTATGAAGTGCCGATATCATAAATATCTAAGACAAACAGAGAGCATGCCCTATCCATGGATTTGACCCAGGCAACTTGATACAAGGGTATATAACAGGAACAAAAGGTGTCATTTTTTTCCGATTTCTTGTGATGCTAAATGGTGACAACCAAATCTAAGCACAATCTAAACACAATTTGTAATTTTGTATCCTACTTCTAAGACGAAGGTGCGAAGCGTTTTTCAACGTGTGAACTTTTTAAATTAATTTGTAATATTTTTCGCTCACAAGATGCCTGCCCAAATCACATCTGTTTTTTGATCCCTCAATTAAGAAGGAATCTAGGAAGGGTAGAATATGCCAAATTTTGCCGTTGAATGCTCAATGTAGCAATTAATGAGGCTCTTACCCCTGTTTGAATTGTGTTTTCCTTTAATATGTTAAAATTTTAGTGGCGTTCACTTGATCATCTAAAATTTGGGTTTTTTTTTCTTTCTTTTTTTTCTACTAACCGATAAGTATTGGGGATTCCATGGTACAGCTGATATTGAAAGAACCATCGCTTGTCATCTTCCAGTCAAAGTATTTCAAGCGTTATTTGTGCTTAGGTACTATGTTGCCATACTACTCAAATTTTTTCAATTAATTATGGAAAAACTAATCACTTGATAAATTTACATAACATTTCCTCTGTTTTCATGATTAACCCCTGAAATTTTCATGGAAGTGTAAGCAAAGGTTTTAGAGGAAAAATTGAAACAAAAGTGAGTTTTTCGGCATCATAGCGTCTCGGCATACACTGCACTTGCGATACTTCGGCCGGAAGGTGACGACCGTATGATGTGTGAACCTTAGGCACATTTCGATGATCAGCACAATTTTAGTAAAAGGGGGACAAGTATGAATATTAGAACACCAACTTGAAGAAATCTCAAAAAGTCCACCGAAATGTTGGCTCTAAACTGTTTACTGTGTGCAAGAATGTTTGGAAAACTAATGAGATTCAAGTTATTGCCTATTCAATTTATGAACTGTAAATTTTAGATTCCATTCAGTAATGCTCATCATATTATTTACCATTATACATTTGTTTTGTTCTTGCAGGTGTTTAACAGTCATGTGCCGCAAGACCTGTACAGGCCAAAGGTTGTATGTATTATTTTTTGACATTTTAATTAGCCCTAGTTAAGCTTTTTATTAGTATTTTTAAGTATTTTCACATTGAGGAGGAAGCACTCAGAAGCTGCAGTATTGGCATAATGTAAAAATTATCTAGAACAATTGGCGATAGTCCCTCTTTGCCGTTCCAGCTGTGCCAACTTGGCATTTGAGCAAGACGATCGTCCGTTCCTCAGAAGGAGTAAGAGCAGTAGCCAGGATCCCTCCGCCAAGCAGCATTTTACACCATGTTCACAGTATGCCAGCACTATTGCTGTAGTGCGCCTCCTTTGAGTGTTTTTTTTTTTTTTCAGTCTCATGGAATGATACAACTCGGATTTATCATAATTGAAGAGAAGAAAGTACTAATTTCTTTAATTGTACTTATTCACTATTAACTGTTCTAAGTTTATCACACTAATTTCCGGGATAAAAATTATCTGATAATACTGAGAATTGCTCTTAGGATAAAGAACCTGTCCTTGTATGTTATCTCATGGGAAATGTCAATTGGAAATGCCTTAAGTAGGCCTCACTCTATCCTGAAACTGGCTAAAAGAGTCACTTTTTCATCCTTATTCAGGTATCAAATGATCATCTGTTCAACCTAAATGCAGGGATCCTGAAACTTCCTTGGTCATGTGCTGGTTACGTTACAAAAGGGTACTCTTGTGAGAGGGAAGAAAACTGAAGGAACTTCTGCAAGAAGAGAAAATAGTGGGAAATACGGCAGTTTAGAGGTGGAATAGTTCAATTTTTTTGGTAGGGCACTCCTGAATATTGGTTACAAATGGCTAGGACCAATCAAATTAGGGAAAGACCTGTAAATTTCCACACCCCTGCCAAAGTGTAAGAAAAATGTTTTTGTTTCTTACAGTTAATTAGGTGATGACCTCACTAACTTGATGTCTCGTTTTTTTGTTCACAGAAACACGATAGCTTAAGTAAATTATACGAAATGGATGACAGTCCGGATCGGCGAGCATGGCTAGATAAACTTCTGCAGTTCATGGACGAAAGAGGAACTCCCATTTCGGCCTGCCCGACCATCTCCAAGAACCCCCTTGACCTCTTCCGGCTGTACCTCTTCGTTAAAGAGCGAGGGGGCTTCATGGAGGTATGCAAGGTGCAGTGTAGTTCTAATGTTAGTTTTCAATTTTCTTTACTTTCGCTTACTTTATACTTTTGTCTCAATCCTTTTCTTTTTGCTATCTCTCACGTTTGCATTGTGGCTGGTCATTTGTGGTAATCGAACCTAATGCTCAGTTTGTTAGGTGCTTATTCAAATTATTCTCCCCTTCCATTTTGCTCTTTGGTCGAATCTATTTATCGTACTACCCATGTCATTTCTCCCAGAATGTGGGGACTTTAAAATCTGTTAAACCTGTGTTCAATTCGGCAAGAAATATGATATTCCCACTCATTTAGCCTAAAAAGAACTCTGAAACAGCTGTCCAGACTGTTGTAGCAGTGGTGGATATGGTACGTTTCTCCAGAAGAGTCTACCTCCATATTCAGTCCAATTCGCAAAGCAGAGACACTGCTGTGGTTGTGGCATGTCTGAAATTTTTGACAGATTCAGCCGGTTCATTGCAAACTCCGTTCTTTCCATCATCTTCCGGTCAATACTCCCATACCAATCTCTCTTTCAAAGGATCTGGTTGGACTTGAGATTTTTATCCCAGAGTTTCAATTCATTGGTTAAATCAACCCTCTCGGTAGGTTTGCATCAGGCTCAAACCTTTTTTTCTTCTTTTTGTCGTAACTACTGGATAGAGCAAGGAATTGTTATGACTGGTGTACAAGGAAAAATAAGGATCAGGCCAGATTTCTACAATCAGTCAGATTGACTTGGGTGGTATCCATTTTTGAGCTAAATTTTATTGAGTCGTTCAGGCATTCAAGGCGCCAGGTGAATCAAGAGGTCATTAAATTTTTGGGCTGAATTATCTCACTCTTTCGTCCAAAGCTACCTCTATTTTTAGTGTCGCTGTCTTAGCAGCTTCACTTTAATATGTACTTACTTCATGTGTGAAATTCATACTAGGACCCTTCTTGAGATCGTTGATTTAGGTCGGCTTATCAAATAGTTGATCAGCAGTGAAAAAAGATGAAATAAGTTAGCGTCTTCAGCATCTTAGGGTAAGAAATCCTCTTCTGTCAGAGCATGTGCATCTGATGCAAAAAAATGATGCACAAACTACAAAATTTCAGAAGGATGAAACAGGATTAGGTCATAGCTGTTCATGAATGAATATTTGTGAGAAGAGATTGCACATGGCAACTAATTAGATGGACAAAATCGTAAATGAAAGCATTTAATGAGATACTCATAACAGACACACTGAGTGTCAAGGAGATGAACATGAAGTGTTAAACAAGTTGCTTCCGTCTGTATATTTCAGTAATCCATGGCAAATTAGTATTCGAGGGATGAAATTTCAGAATATTTCTCCATGACCTCAACTTTCATCACCCTAATACTATTTGAATTAATCAAAGGTAACAACATAGCACTGTGCCTGTTGGTTAGAATGAGTGGTTAGTTCTAAGAGCCAGGTTTTGGCAGTTGTTGTCAATCTCTCAATTTGAAATGAAGGCTTAAACGGAAAGAGGAAATCAGTGTTCTTAATTCAGTACATGAAGACCAGCACGGTAAATGAGAAAGATAGCATGCCTATGGTAATGTTTGCTGAGCCTGTTCTCTGAGTCAAGGGCTTTTTAAAAAGCTGTTTTTTGTTCATTTATCAAAAACTGCTTGCACCTCTACCATGTGGTTTGTTGTTGACTGTGTGTGCACTCGACCATGCCCCTCATGATGCTTCAAAACTCAAAGTTTGTGTCTTCAGTGGTAAAAATGTTTCTCTTTAACAAGTGTATTTAAAACTCGAAAAACAAGTAACAAACTCCAACAAATTGGCAAGGAATTAAGATCAGGAACGTCCTGAACACTAGAAACATCTCGAATGTCAGGAACATCTCAAAGTGAAACCCTGCTTTAAATCATGCCTTTAGTCTGTAATAACAGACCATGTTTTTTTTTTTTTTTATTGGAGTAAAATGGGGGGGGGAGGAGGGTTGTAATGCATATTCTTCAGATCCAATATAAGGCAGTCATCTGATGCATGACATGAGGAGCTCAAATCAAATCAAATTATTAGTATTGGAGTGTCTTTGGTATTTACTTGCCTTTGAGGTTATGTACCCTCATTACCATCAAGAGTGCCTTTTTTTTCTTTTTTTTTCTCATTGAGTGTGGAATGCTGTTTTAAATGTGAACGAGAGTGTGTGTGTTGTGCATGGTTATCTTTGTCCAGCCTGTTGCAAACGATTTATTAATTTTCTTTTTATCTATTTATTTTATTTGTTTCTCCCTTACTTACTTTATTATTATTTATATCTCCGTTTTCCTTGTTTAACCATTTACTTGGCTCTACTTTGATAATATCAGGACTATCATCTTTGTTTTACCTCTATTTTAATTTTTCTGCCCTTACTTCATTTCATTTTCTGGTGAAATCATTAGAATGATGTTCACTCAAACTCTGGAAACTATACATTGACTACACTTGCATTATTTTATTTATTATTACTGTGTTAATTTTAATTTCTTGTTGAATTGTGAAAGTTTTCTTTTGTGTAAGCAATCATTTTGGAGGCTCAATCTAAGAATCACTTTCGTCAGGTTGCTGGGAGGAAGGTGTATTAATTGTGATTTTCTGACTTATCAGTCTAAAGAATGCCTACTAGAAAAAAAAAAACTATTCTTAGTTGAATCATCAACGGCTTCAGAATTTTTAAGGATTTTGTTGCTGTAATCACCTTTTCCTCGGTCCATTTTTGCAGTTAGTTTACTCCTTACTTTTTTTTTTTTTCTTTTACTTATTTGAACTAACAGACTTCCCATGTAACTGAATTTCACATGTACGCCTTTCTTCCAGTAATGTTCCTGAAATGGTGTTCATGTATTTGTACTTTAATAGCATCCCTACTGTTTTGTGACTTGTTATTATTATTGCCTAAGTTTCATACCACCAACTGTATCAGGTAACTTTTCGTCAAAAAAATAATAAAAGTAAAACCGAAAGTATTCCAATAATTTGCACGAATATTTCAATGCATTGGTTGAAGTTTCCATCTCGCAAGTATTCATTTCTTGTTCAAAAATTTTCATGAGGTGCTGAGTGTGTCATTTAATAGAAAGTTTCATTAATAAGTATTTCATACTTTCAGTTTAACAGATTCTCATCGGTACCTAAAATTTCTATTAATTTAAACAAGAAAAGACTGAAGCGCCCTAAGTATTCAACTTGAAAAATGTGTTTAATCATTCAATTACGATTCATTAGTTATGAGAAAACTGCAATGAATTTTTGATGGATTCACTTGTAGTCAGATAGACATTCTGAATTTTTGGATCATCAAAGACAAAACAGAATACGTTTATTAATTTTTGTATCCGTGTGGAAAAATGTAGAGGTAAGAAGGGTGCTATGTCAGTGCTGATTATTAGAACTGAGATTTGTATTTTGCATCTAGTTAGATAGCAATTCAGTAGCAAGCTCAATATTTCTAAATAGCAGTTGGTATAGTACTGGTTATTCCCGAATTGAAATAATTGAATGATGGAACTAATTTAATGTTACCTCTAAAAAGGCAAGTAACACTTTCACTGCCAAACCTGCCAAAAGTATCAGTTTTTTGTTGATCGCGCCAGGCCATGATAGTCGCAACTTTGGAACAGTACATTTCTGTATCACTGCTGTAGGTTAGTGGTGCTTTTCACAAGTTTGCTTCGAACTGATTTCGAACTAAATTAAATCTCTTACAGTACATCACCGCTTAGAAGTGTCACGGCAATTGGCGGAAATCATGACATGGAGCATTCGTATTTCGTTATTTTCTTGTGTTTTTTTGGCCTGGCAGGAACAGTTATAGTTGACAAAGAATCTGTATTCTTAGGAGATGAAGGTTGAAGAAAAGAATTTCAAGTTCCATTCCAAAGTCATCATGACTTCTTTATTCAATTTTAGCTTTTTCCTTGTTTTTGAACTTACAAGGATATCCTCTGTTGAAATTTACTATATGAACAATCCCCGTAATTAATTCTTTTGGTGGACATTTAACAAAAAGGAAAACGATAAATTTGAATCTGAAAGAAATAAATCGTTCAAGTACACAAGTAACAAAATATTTGTTGTTTAATTCCATCAAAAAGGCAATCAACGTAAAATGCTAGAAAACACGAAAGGAGAAAGGGATAATTTTAGCAAAAGCAAAACATTTGACTAATTGAATTTTATTTTTTTAAATTATAGTATCATTAGAAAGATGAACAGAGAAGAGAGTGCAATAACTGGAAATTGAAACTAAAATATGAAGTCATCAACAGTTTCCTTAGATTATGAGAAAGAGGAGGCACTTTTCAGAAGAATGATTTTTTAAATTTTATGGCTTTATTGACATGTGGATTTTCTAGCTCTATTCCCTTAAGAGATACATTTACAGCTAATTTGAATCTCCTCTCTCTTCATCATCTCGGAATGAACAGTGTTCAGTTTTTCAATGAAAAATTAGCAATCTTGTTGAGTTGATATTGTTATTGGAGATGAAATAATTCAAAAGTCAAACTAATCAACTCCTCTCAGTGTTAATCGCCATGGCTCGAAAATTATTTAAAGGCTCCAAGTTGGAATTCTGGAACAAATCCTAAGTTTGTTAAAATCTATTTTCTATGTCCCGAAACCAAACATCTGCGGTGAAACTGCAAAAATGCGTACTTTACTTGCAGTGTCTCAAAATCTCAGCCTAAAATAATGACTTGAAATTTTCGCACAATATTCTGATCGTAGAGCGGAAGAACCATCGAAGTTCTCAAGAAATGATGATTATGAGTTTTCAATTAAACAAATGAAGCATGGCGAAATATCTGCAATGCCGTACACAGAGATACGTATTTCTGCAGCTTTCGATATGTAAAGATGTTCTGAGAACGGTAGTGTCTGGGAAATTAATCATCTGTGATTATTATTTGTTTGTGTTTTCTTAGGTTACAAAAAACAAAGTCTGGAAGGACATAGCTGGTTTGTTGAATATCGGAGCATCATCTAGTGCAGCTTATACATTGCGCAAACATTATACAAAGAATCTGTTACCTTTCGAATGCCACTTTGACCGCGGTGGAATTGATCCGCAACCAATTATCAACCAAGTAGAAGCCTCCTCAAAGAAGAAAGGTGCTAAAAATGCATCCGTCCCCTCTCCAGGTACATATCTTCTATATTCCGTGAAATTTCTAATAAGCATTTTTGTCCCTTTTGTTAGGAAACTTTCTTCTCACAGATTTAAAGTTATAGATTGTCAGCTTTTGGGTGGGATGTTTCTCTTCAATTAATTTTTTGCTACGAAGTGGCTCCATCCTGCCTGAAGCTTATCTTGTTTGGGCTCTCCTTATCCTTTCCAAAGCACCTCTCATATTCTTTCTATCTCTTCTCAATAGAACTTTATCCTGACACTTACTAATACAAATTGTAGTTTTTTCTAACAATACTTGTATTTTACATAAATTGACTTATTTTTCTAAATTAATCTCATTCCAAGTGTCCCTATATGATAAATGTTTCAAGTACCAAGGTTTTTTCATCTTGAAAGGACTTACAACCAAAAACCTAGAGATTTTGCGCCGGCAAAAGATTTTTTACCGCAATTATACATTTTTCAAGACACTGCCAGCCATACCATACATTATGACAGGACGCACTGCAAGTAATGTGGCAATAGTCATGTGATCGGGCCAAGTTGCATACTGACTTTGTCTGTTCTGTGGGCACAAGTAGGTCTAAGCTTTGTTGAGTGTTGTGCAGGATGTGGCTCATCATGCAATATGTCACACAATAAACCCACACATACATATCTAGGTATAGACATCATATAGATGTGTGTCCTGGTTTTGGAAATAATTTTATTTGATGGCATCTCGTCTTGATTTTCATGTCAGTTTAAATGGTTCCTCTCATTTGTGGTGTCAACCGAACAACCTAAAAAGTCAGGGAATTTTGCTCTGAGTCATGAGAATTCTCAGGGCTGCGGCTCAACAGCTGAAACCTCCATCGCATGCATGAGTTTTAGGGAAATTTTTGCCTCAAAGTGAGCGCCATAGCCACTGATCTCATGATTAGTGCGCTTGTTCAAATCGAAGGGATCTACATATTAACACTTATCTGTTCTTGATTAGTTGTTTCTAACTTTCTTCTAATTTTTCTAACTTAGGTATGGAATAATTTACAGTATTTCCAGGCAGCATGTAAATTGTCGTATTCGGGTCATTTGCAAGTTTCAACTTGATGCATATGATTGTGGTGCCTCAAAGTTTGCATCGCTGTTTTTAAATTATTCGATTTCTTTTTTCTTTCTTATTTTGTAAAAATCAGAGAATTTCAGCTTAAATGGTCAGGGGTTTTTTCCTTAAAGTCAGAGAAAAGCCAGGGAATATTCAGATCTGATTAAACTTGCAACCCCGTTCTGTTATTCATCATACTTGGAATTATTTTCCTTTAAAGTTGAAATGAATTTAGAAACGTAGCTGTGTTGCATTTGATTTGGGCCAAATAAACATGCATAGCAGGTAACATTTCAGGTTCGTCCAATTCACAAGATTCTTTGGCAGCTTCGACAGGCGTGGGCTCAGGCTCAATGGATGGCTATGGATACGGCTATCCTGATTATAACAACCAGAGACCACCCTCACAAGCAAATCAAGGTATGCCCTTGGTCCATCTCCTAAACTCTCTGTGTCTCTCCTTTCTTACTTATTTGTTTCCTCTGAGTGAAATATCTTTTCAGGGTTTCTATTAGATTTGTTGTTGGTGTCTTTGTGCGCCTTTACAACTTTTGTTGTCAAATTTCATGCCCACGTTCATCACTGAAAGGTTTCTCTCTTCGTTTGCCTCGTTTTTTTACAGTCTCAACTTCAGTAGTGTTATGATCTTACTTTTAACTCTCGATCTTCGTCTCTGGTAAAATATTTTACTGTAGATTTTTTTTTAAATTCATCATTATTTAAGATCTTTGAGTGGAATTCAGCCAATAAAGATGATCTGAAAGGAGGTACAATTTTGAAAAATGATATTCTACCTTTTATGATACTCTGGTAATAATTTTTTCTGCCGGTGTTTTCTGATCTTTCCAAAGCTTATCTTCTCATGTTTTGTCCCTTCAAACACGCATATTTTCCTGATGAAAATAATGTGGCATGATGAAATTTGAAATAGTAGAAATCTCTTTGTGCATTTTCTTTTTTTTATTTTAGCATTGAAAGGTCTTGGTTGATTAATGTTCGATTTTTATTTTATCGCTTTTAGCGGAGAAGTTTTAGACAACATTTAGACATGTCTCTGTTTTCTGGAAATCCAAATATTCGTTGGGCTTTTCGGGTTTTAACTGGAAGGTTTCTGAGAGATCATTGATCAGTTTGGCCTTCATCATCTTCATACATAAGTATTGCTATGAAATGTAAAAATAAGCAAGCCCCTTCTGAAAACTGCTATCTTTCGCCAAACTATGGTGAAGAGAGCAAGCAATTTTTAACAAATTGTATGATCAAACTGTATCAAAGCTAGCCGTTCAGTCCAAACCTGTTGAAAGGTTGCACAGCTTCACTAATTTTTGGTTGTATTAATAACTTCAATAGTCAATTCTCCAACTAAATTTTCATGGTTGATGATAAATTAAGAACTAACACCCGGAGTTGGAAAGTAGGCTAGTACAGAGCTGCTTTAAAATCTGGTTTTGTTCATAATTCGATAAAAGGATGTTTCTGAGCATAAAAATTCAGCAAAACCAATCAAGGGAGATCGCTTGTACCTGCAGAATTGGTCATTAAAATCATCCTCTCCATTCATAAAGATGAAGGTGGTCACACAGAAAAGCCTTAGGTTGTGTTATTTATCAGCTTATGAAAAAATATGCATCACAACTTAGTGGCACTGCTATTAGGCTTGTGTCTCCTTTGATGCTTTAACAAGCATGGTTGAATATGCAACTGATTACTGAATTGCCATCTTTCAGAGGACTTACTCCCAAGAGATCTGGTTTTGTCAGGGTGCCACAGTGTGAACAAAACTTTAAATATGAAGGGCAAACATGATGGCATGGCTTTGCCATTGTAACGCTTAACATTGCAGATAATGTGTGCAATTTCTTGCCAAGAATATTTGATTGCATCTTTCCAATATTTCATCAAAGACCCTCTGAAGCTGTTAGGGGTTCCTCAGATCCAGGAGTAGGCAAATTTTAAGTATTGTGTAGGATTCAGGTGGCTTTAGGGAAAACTTAGTGTAAAGGGCAGTGCTGTTTGAATCGTTTGGGCGGTAGTATTCGAGTTTGGATTGAAACCGGTGACCCTCCCCTCTGTTCCCAGGGAATTTTGAGGCCCTCTTCTCTCTTCGGTTGTCATATTTATGAGCTTCAAATTTAAAGGAATTTATTCTTGCTGACATGATAGGTCTATACTCTTTTGTTGTTGTTATGTTGCGTATTTTATACCATGATCTACAAAGCTAATCTGTAAGAGAAATTTGAGGCACTGGATGCGAAGAGGGCACTTCTCGATTGCGGTGTTTCAGAATCTCTGTTGGGAATTAATCCCTTGTAGAAGAATTCAATTTGTGATTTTTCCAGAATTTTTTTTTATAGAAAATTGTGGAATCATAAGGAATATTCAGTAAAATTTTTAATGAAATGGATCCATTCACTTTCCTTACATTGAATGAAATATTAGACGAGACTCTGCCCTTTTTGCATCTAGTGCCTCAATTGTTAATTCTTTCAAGACTTGAAATCACATCTTTGAAGTTTTAAATAACTGAATTTTTTTTAAACTGTCTGAGGTAACATTGTCTCCTTTTAACTGTATGAATTCAAAGGATGTGCTGTAACTTAGTATTATGGCACATCAATGTTTCGACTGCATGTGCTTTGTGTGTGGGAATAAAAGTATGTCTGTCTTTTCTTTCTTTCTTTCTTTTTCTCTCTTTTTTTTTCCATGTTTTTTATCTTTCCGCCATGGAAGTAAATAAAAGAAGTCACTAAATTTTTTTGAAAATTCTGAAAGATTCTTGATTTTTTTGGCTAATGTGCTTGAAATACACTCAGTACTTTACTCACTTGAATTTCGAGTGGATTGACATTCTATAGTAGCAAATTCGGAAGTTCGAACTTACTAATCTATTAATGATTCCTAACATTCAAATTCTGTTTTCTTCCAGGTTTAAAATAGTTATAATGAATAATCGCTATCGCTTCAAATATTATTAGAGTAGAGACTATTGAAATATAAATATTAATACATCGTCATAAGCATTGTAGACTTGATCTACATTTCCTGACTCCTTGTATGCAAGGTCCCCTTGTTTTTTCAGCATCAAGTTATTTACGGTTCCTTTCAACTCAGTTCAGCTGCTAAAACATGGCAGGGAACCTCACTTGGTCCATCATGAAGAGTCTTTTTTTTTCATGTTCTGATAAGTCATCTCAAGGTTTTTGAAAATATGAGCTCAATGACCATTAGCAGACAGAATTTTTTTTTAATTATCAGCTCCTAATTTTTGTAAGATTGTAATTTATTTTTCTAAGAGTCACACATAGTAAATCAGGGGTGCAGAAACTTCCCCATAATACGGTTATGACCACGAGGTTGCTTGCTTTGAAAATGAAAAAGCTGTGAACATCAGGAAGGTCTACTTGCAATAGCGTGTTTCTGCAAAAATTGCAGTGGAATTCACATGTTTTTTGTAGTGGTTACTTGTGAATATAAGTCCAAAAATAGGTGGTAGTCAAAAAAATTTTGGGTAAAAAGGCGCCTTTAAAGTGAAAGGGCCAGTTCAAAAGAGGGGAAGGGCAAGAACTTTGTGCCGCCTTGTTGCTTTTTTTCTTTGTTTTTAAACTAAGAGGAACCAAAATCTACTTTTCACCTCTGCTAAGTTTGCCGGTAAGGGAAGGTTTATGTTTTGTATAATATTTCCACTTGACGTTTACCTAATGGCTCTTATTCGTTTAAAGATTACATACTTTCAAGTGCATTGGGCATAGAAAGTAAGGATATTTTGAAGATAAAATTTAGATTGTCAACAAATAATCAGTTTTAATCTAAATTATTAGGGCTTGTTAACCATGGTGCAAGGGATGTTAACCTGTCAAATCCATTTGAAGACTCAGAAATCAATCACAAATACAGCTGTTATGGTCCTCAAGGTATAGCTTTGCAATCGTATGCCTTGCATGATATTTGTTGCTTGGTTTTGAATGCGGAATATTTCTATTGGAATAATTTCCTATTGCCGTTTGTAGTAAAATGGTCGACCAGTTCCACCGGACATGGATAGACTTTTGTTATGTTACTCGATATATTACTTAATTTCTATTACAGATTCTGCTTAAATTTTTGTTCCTTGTTTTCTTTTTTCTGAATATCTCTTCACGATGAGTTCAAAGTTCTACCGTTTTAAATTGTTAAAGTTCCTTTCATGTTTTAATCAATTGACTTGTTTTGAACAGAGGTACAGGTGTCTTCTTTCTTTTGAAATGCTCTTGTTTTTCCTTTATTCTTGTTTTTATTATGTTTTCGTGTGCGTGTGGTGTGAGAGAGAAGTATACGCGTGGTTTTTCTTTCAGTCGAAGATAATAAATCATGTTTTATTGCTTACCCAACTTGGATCAACTCGGTCCTCAGTGTTTTTTCGTATTTTGACAAGAAAATTTGAAGAAATATAAATAAGATAAGGAGGTTGCGCTTAGATTACTAGGCTCTTGTAACCTGTCACAGGAAGCATACTTTTAGTTTTTTCGACTAGTGACCTGGTTCTCTCAATTGCACTTTTAACAATTAGAGTTTTACAAAACAAACAACACATTTTTAAGTAACCACATGATTGAGTTTTCAGAAATGGAAGGTAAAGCTCATGGATAATGAAAAGAGCAGTTAGGGGAAAAGCCGGACAATAGAGTAGAAACTAAGTAAAGCTGTGCAGAAAATGCTAATTTCTGTAAAATTTTTCAATTTGCAACTCTTCTTTGAAAGTTTTCCTCCAGATACATAGTGCTTCAGTTTCTCTTTACAATTTTGTCCTCCTATTCTAAACTATAGTGTGTTATTCTTTACTTTTGTGGAGTTTTCACATCTCTTGACTTTTTGCTTTATACCACAGTTGTCCTTTGACCCTACTGTTATTCTTATATAATTTTTGTTTTAAGGTTATTTTACAATTTTTTGAAGTGTGATTACGATAAATTTTGGTTAGTTCAGATCTTCTGTAGGAGTGTACGATTTTTAGATGATGACTTCATAAATAAATGATCAAAACAAGAGTAACTGAATTAACAATTGAAAAAATCACAAATTAGACCAAATATGTAGCTGTGGAGTTCATTCTTTTCTCTCAGTCTTGTTAGGCTCAAATTCAAGCTATGCATGGATTTTGAGTCTAGCTCCGCTCCAGAATTTGGCTTTTTTGAAGCTGTTATCCATTGATACGCCCATATTTCCCTCCCAGAAGCGTATTAGACTGAGCTTGGTCCAGTGCGCTCACCAACTTAATGTCTCAGAAGCCATGATTAATGAACGAATCTACAATTTCCAGTTTCATCATCCTTTACCTGTGTTTATCTATTCTCTTTGAGTTCATACCGAGCTTAATCATCCTCCTTCCCCTTCACCTTCCCCTCCTTCTTTACCTAGCAAAGCATGTATGAAATACAATGGAATTGAGGAAAATTATTAAGTTTAAACAGCACCTTGTCACACCCCTCGGAGATTGTAAGCATGTATTAAAATTTCCAAAAGCTTCAGGTGGTAAAACCTCTTGGTAAAAATAATCAATCACGTACTATCAGCATAATAGTTGGAAAATCTGTTTTAGAGCAAATATTGACTGGTCTCCTCTATTCAGTGAAATTTTAAATTTTCGGAGCTATAGCATCCCTTGGATTTTTTTTGCCTTTTTATTCAACACTCCCTTGAATTTAAGGTCAAAAGCAGCTTAAGAGTTGATCATGATAATCCTCAAATTGTTGGTTTTCCTTGTTACATTTTAGAAAATTAGGAAATTTTTTTTTTCGGAAGTCCTTTGATCTTTCATGTCTAATTGTTTGACCTCAACTGTCCCTGAGAATGGTCCTTTTTTCCAGGTGTGTTTTGTATATTATGATGTTTTACGTTTGTGTTTTTATGGAGTAGAGAATAACGGCATTTAAAAGAATCTTCGTAACTTGTGCATTCTTTTCTTGAGAAACCGGCAATCTTTGAAACACCGTGTTAATAACCTATTGAGTGCAAACAATGTATGAGTTTTGGTTCTGGTGGGTGATGATGATATCATGCATGTACTCAGGTCTCAAAACATGTTTAGATTTCATGGGAGATTTTTGCTGGTTTATTGTGTACTCTAAATTTATTTTAAGTATAAATTAGGGTGTCCTATCCATGCCTCTTTCCTATGGTCTACTTGTTAGTCAAGAAGGCTTTCTTGGTCCGTAGTCCCACAGAGCCAAGATTAGTCTATCACAACTGGTCTGGTGCCATGAACATCATAGTTTGTTATTTCCATAGCACCGCTAGTGCTCAAATCGTCACCTTCCAGGCAAAGTATCACAAGCGCCATGCGACGTTTAAAAATTTCCGCCGCCATTATATTTTATTACAGAGAAATTGTTCAACGAAGCTGTCCGAAAATTTCACTGAATTTTCTTTGTGCTGCCGATAAAATTCAGTGAAATTTCCAAACAGATTCAACCAACAATTTCTCAGTAAAGAAATAAAATGGCGGCGGAAATTTTTATACGTCGCATGGCGCTTGTGATACTTTGCCTGGAAGGTGACGAAATGTCTGCTGGTTGTGTAACTGAAAGTTACTCCAGTATCCTATGACAAGCATCACCAATTACATCTCCCTTAAAATTTGAAAACCTCCCAATAGAAAAGTGCCCCATTCTGTGTTGTCACTAAGTTTCCCACCCATCCTATTATAATGTAACTTTCAGGGCTATGAAGGTGTTTAGTGGTGATTGTAGCAAAACAATTTAAAATTATTTCTCACATGATAGAGAACACCATATCAACATTTCAATTCAATCAGAATAAGGGGTGGGGTTTGATGGTTAGGCATTAACTGGCCGCTTATGCCATTTTATCCCTGAAAGTGTCAAAAAAACAGCCGGAACTACAATTTGGTGGTTTTCATGTTTTCAATGCAGACACCTTTTGCAGTGCTATCATTGAGTAAAATTGTAGATGGCTTTAAAAACCCATTTTGTGGCATCTATAAGTAAAACCATGTTATTCAAAACTTGTCTTTACCATTGCCAACTTGTACCATGACCAGTCACACTTTTTTGCAGCCCTCATCAAGGTTAAGGCCCCCTGGACCCTCATTTTGGCTTGTTTCAAGAGCTCCATGCCCTCTACTAACGGGTGGAGTAAATTTAAGAAAGTTCTAGAAACAATTACCACTCGTTGCCTTGAGACACTCTTGTAAGTCAAAAAAGAGTTCCAGTTCTTGAAAGGGCCTCAATTTACTTCCGCATCACCCCGAAAAAATTTGAAAGGATTCTAAAAAGTTTTGGAAAAAGAATTATCAGTTATCTTGTGACACCTTCTGAAAGTTACACAAGATATCAGAGAAGTGTGTCTGGTACATGGTAAATTCTATTGAATTTTCTGAGACTTTTTCAATCAATTTCTATCTTTTTTTTCTTCTTTTTTTTTTCAAGCAGCTGGTATTCAGCCAGGGTATCAAGGTCAACCTGGGTATCAAGGCCAGTACCCAGAGCAATATGCCGGACAGCAGTATCCTCCTGGCCCAGGTTATTCGCCGAGACCTATGTATCCTCCGTATGGACAAGATAATGAAAGGTAAGCCTCAGTCGAGTGTTGCTTTATCAATGAGTTTTATCTGCCAGTATTTACTGAAAAATAACGTCAGTAATAATGGCTACAGTAAAGGGAAAAAGGAAAACAACAAGTATGGTTTGACTATAATCCAATAAAAGAAGTTCAAAATCATGTTCTAAACACTGAGAATTTTCACGGAAGTTAGTAATTGAAGTCAAAATTCCAAACCGTTCATTTAAGATTTTTGAATAAGATGGAATCCTCTGTTCCATTCCTCTTTCCAGTTAGGCACTGAAACAAAGGAAACACTTCCTCCCTCCCTCCCCTCCCCTGGCACTCAAAATAAGTGAGGCTTCAACAGCAGAATGGTTCATCATTGTATTTTTTGTCATCAGGGGTTATTCGCCTGGAACTAATAGTAGTCAGCCCCCTGGTCCAAATATGCCTCCTCAGCAGCAGCCCCCTCAGCCAAATCAAACTCCTAACCAAGACCCATACAGGGGCGGCAGCTACATACCTAGTAACCAGCAGCAAAATTATTCTCCTAGGAGTGGATTCGGTGGTCCCAGTCCAGGACCTCAACCTACAACTCTATCGAATGCTTCCTCCGCAACGCAGCAGCCTACCAGCACAACACCTACTTCCTCTGGACCCTACCCCTCCAGTGCTCCTCCCGGACAGGATTACTATCGACCTGACCAGGTTTGTATTCTTTTTAATGATCATCCCCTTGCAGTCAATTGCTCTTAGTAGTACTGCCTTTTCAGTTGATTTCTTGCTTCATTTCAGTATGCTTTTTTATAAGGTGAAATATTATATGGTCTGCCAGCGATTTCTGTGTACGTCATGAAAAACAAATCTTTATGGCTATTTGCTTACGTAGTTCCAAATGAAGAAAAGGATAAAGTTGAAGACGTTTGCTGTCAGGTTGCTAAATTAGGAACTTGAATTACACTGTACGTCTCAGTCTTCATGGATGGACAAGGATTTTTGTTTGTTGTCATGCAATATTGATTCTGTTTTACACCAGATCGTCTGTTATAGTTAAGGCAGTTTTTGTCATAAAGTTCCTCTCTGTTTGCCACGATTTGGCTGAATAAGTTGAGTTGATAATGAACGAAAGAATACCCCTGGGATACATTGGTAATAGTTGCACTTACCGTTAGCCTTAATTGATCAACACTAGCTTTCCGGGAGTTTGACAGGACCTCATAGATGTTTGACAGGAAAGAAAATTTTCCTTGTACAGCATACAGGGTGATCCGAAAGTTCTGCACTATTTCTGTAAACATCAGGGATATCATGTTTTTTCATAGAAGTCCATCTTTAATTTTGGGGTTCTCAAAAGTTATTACCTTTGAGCTAGGAGCACTCGCAAAATATCAAGTCTCAATCTCAATAAGTTTAAGTTACAGCATGGTGCATAGTCCTAGTGGTGCGGTACCTCTCGATCACCACCCTGCACTCATTCTATCGTAACATGTACTGCTTTCTTTGTACTTTCACCTCATTTCACTCTTCTATTTTTACTTTTCAATTTGTTTTTAGAATTACTCTGGAAACCAGCAGTCTCCTGGGGCTGGAGCTCCATATCCCGGTGCACCCAATAGCAAAGTTATGCCTCCGCCAGCACCACAGCCTAGACGCCATCCTGATTTTGCCACCAAAGATCAGTCATATCCACCCTATAATCCCCAAAGACCCATGTATCCTGGTAAGCTATTGATCCTTGACATCAAACAACAGCTATTAAGCAGCGTTTTAAATTTTATTTATGTTAAATTTTTTCTATGTCTTGTCATTATGGATGCAAATAGCAGCATCACAGAGGTTGTGCTTTACTGCCGTTCAATTGCTATTATCCCAGTCCCACGTGTCACGCAACTCTTTAGCTTCTAAAATGACCAATTTTGCACCAAGCTAAAAAATCTAATGATCATTGACACCTCTCAGAATTGGGGGAAGAAAAGAAAAGACAAATGTCACATCAATCTGGGTGCATCAATCATCAGTTGGCCCATTGTTTACAATGTAAATTTATGTTGAATGGTGCCATTCTCTGATGTAACATTTGTCTATTCTTTTCTTTACCCAGTTCTACTCTTGGCTCTAAAATGTACTGAAATTGCTGATTCTAATCTCTATAGCATAGCAGTCTTTTCAAAGTATCTACTTTTGGCGTCCCAACCATCGCACCATTTTCATCAAAATTTTCACACATTGAAATTGGTTGATATTGAGACAAATCTAGTCATATGGAAAGTACTAACTGAGCTTGTTTTACATTGGATATATAATCTTTGAAAATGTATTTCAAGTAAGTGGCAGATATTACTTTCAAGTAGGGCTGTGCGAATATTTGAAAATCTCGAATATTAGAGTTCAAATAATTTTTACGATATTCGATTCGAACTTAGGAACCTCAAATAATCGAATTATGCGACAACATTGACAAAACTGAATATCTAACAAAAAAGATCGAATATTCGTAGATCCGGCCATATTGATGACGCACTAGTATGAACTTGATCTGGTGTGCAGTTCAAACTACCTGTTTTGAGGTTAGGTAAGCAAAGGCCAAAGTTTCATTGGTTCATCCAGTGCATGGCACTCGCACTCTCGCACTAGGTGGATCAATTCAAAATTCGTGCCACTTGAGCTCCACCTAATGCGTCATCAACATGGCGTACAGCACGGTCTTTACAATGTTGTTAGACTGTCTTTGCGAGATCAGTATTGATATGACGTAAAACTGAATAAAATTGATTTTCGGACAGTAAGCACCAGTTTTACAGTTCCATGATAGTTCAATCAATTGCTCGTCCTTAATTAAAGGAAACAATTTTCTCTCCCTTCTTTTCTTTCCCCAGCATATCAAAATGTGTGCCAAACCATTTGATAATCAAATGAATTGATTTATTCTTGATCTTTTTATCTACAATAGTAATTTCTTTATTCAAAATTTGAAAGTCAAAACGAAAAAAATTATTTGATTTTTACTTCGACCTACACAGAGATTGGTTTTGGTCAAAAATAAGTAAAAACTATAAATATTTGATTCGTTTCAAGTGAGAAACGTTTTCAAAATATTTGATTCGAATTAGAAACGTTTTCAATATATTTGATTCGATTGTCCATCAAAAAAACCACATTCGCACAGCCCTACTTCTAAGGCGTACGAATGTCACACTGGAATGATCCTAATGGCAACTCCAAATATTTGATCCGTCTAAGGAGTTTATACGTAGTTGGAAAGAGTCCGCTAAGTGGAAAACCCTGCTAATTCGGTAATAATGGGCTTGGTCCCGATTTTTTGCTTTGCCAATACCAAGTCTGGTTAGCCCAGAAACCTCTCCAAGTCGGAATGTACCCTTCGTCCTGATGCGTTTTAACTTGGTAAGGTGCTAAGTTAGGGCTGTGCTTCTAGTCTCAATTTACGTCTCTATTGGATTCACAAAAATTTTATCAGTGATGATATTGCGGTCTTTTTCAGGTTGGACCGGTAGTAATAGCAATAGTAATAATCAATTTAGAGGTACTTATCCTGGTGGAGGTGCTCCGCCTTCAACGTGGGGGCCGAGGCCTGGCGCGCAATCACAAGCACAATGGGATCAACATAGGTTTCCAGCATCTAATCAGGCGTCTTACGGCCCCATGTCACAGGTAAGAATTATTCTTAATCTTTACTCCACAGGGTTTCATTGGAGCAGTGACTTAGGCTTCAAGAGCAGAAGATACGGTGAAACCTGAGCTGCAAGCAGTCTCATGATGGAGGAGTTGGTGTGTTGCTCCTCCGGTGCCCCAGCTCGGCCACAAGGCTTTGGTCCATAACCTCACTAATGAGAAGACTTGCTGATGAGGAATTGTCAACGATCTCCTTGGCATAAAACCCTGTACAGGAGATCAGTACATACCAGATCACTCAACACTTGACCAGGCTAGCAGAGCAAAGAACCTTTCGTCTTCCGTATTTCCCTTTGTTTCAATGAGTATGAGCTATTGACCCTCCGTTTGCTTGAGTATAAACCTCATGGCTGAGGTTTTGGGCCGATTCTTTCTCTGCGAGGTGTCTCATGGGCGAGGTTTTGGACAAAAACCTCATTCATTAGACCAATCGTTGTTCAGATTTCCCTTGATCCTGGAGGCTGAAGGGCTTCATTAACAGTCAAGGCTGTATTTGGTCCAATCCTCTCATTACTCACCTCTCCTCTGGAGCCCTGTTTTAGTTGTCAAAGTAAAATGTGTTTCTCTTTTGAGCATTGGTCTCATTTCCAGTAATTTTAGATGACAATTCTGGTTGTACAAAATAATAAAAATATTACCTACTTCATTTTCCCACATTTTTCCGTTAATTTTAGTAACGATGATAGGTTCTGCGGAGGCCTGTCAACAGGCACTCAATCAAGCTATGAAACAGAAGCAGCTAGCCAAAATGATAGCATTCGAATAAGCAGCCAATTTTCTATTGATTCACATCAAGTTTAACTCATTTGGACCGAAATTCGGACTTTTTTAATGTTTAAGAAAGGAACGAAAGAAAGAAAGAAAAAAAAAAAAATAACAGACTTTGACCATTGAATTTTGAGGAACCCAGTGTGTCATCTCTATCCTCAAATGCCCTCTCCTCTAGTAATAAATGTAATTGTGTTTAGTTGTTCCTAACTGAAATCAGGCATTTTTCCCAAACCCCCCTCCCCCCATCCATTATCTCTGTACAGCACCTTCAGAACCCCTTCAAAAATGATATCAGGTTTAGCTTCCCCCCCTCCCTTTACTTCAGATAAAAATTAAGAACACTGGGAAAATAGAGAGAAATAAAGCAGTAGAAGTTCTAGTGAACTCATCATGTTCCAAACGGGGTACTGCATAGTATAAAACCACTATATGGTGAAATAAAACAGTGTAACAGTTCTTTTCTGGATCACTTAAATGCTGAAAAGTCAATGTTATGTTGCCTTGGTTTTCTTTTATGCACCCTTAACTTTTTTGTGGGTCAAACTTTTCTTTTGCTTATGAATAGAATTCAGAGATTCCAATTGTTGCCACAATTAAAAGATTTTCCCAGCCAGATTAATGTTGAAATAATCCACTGTTAGACTGATTACTACAACTTTCAATCATTTCAGTGCCGCCAGACATGCCACGAATTTAAGAATTCTATCTACCAAAGCCCTATTTGTATCCCTTTTTTGTGTTCAATTCCTTTGTTTTATTTTTATTTGGCAACAATTTGTGCGATATCTTCATTCTACTTGGACTATTTTTTCTTGGGATCTTCATTACTGAAGATGGACAACATGATATGTTGTAGCTAGAGTCATTGCGAACTCTAGACAGGGTTTTTAAATGATCTGGTAGTGCAAGTTGTGTTCAAAATCATTTTTGCCTGTCTTTTTTATCGTGCAAATTCACCTATTTCATAGAGTATTTTTATTTTGTCCCCTAGCAGGGTGGTCAGTGGATCGGTACGCCAGGAAGTGGTAGAGGTTCGCCTTTAAGGCAAGAACGACCTGGAATCCGGCCTGACTCCAAGCCTTTTGCTCAGATGCCTCCTCCTCCCTCGCAAGCTGTCAAGGTAATTATTCGGCTATTCTTTTTTCCCCCATGGTTGAAATGTTTGCTGGTTTGTCTGTACCTTGGCTCAGTGCTACTGCTCCTGTCTCAATCTGACCTCCTTCTGCCTCCTCCACTCTCAGGCACACCTAAAAATCTCAGTATTCTGTTCTGTTCACTTCCAATTGGACGTATTTCCAATTTCGTGCAGATTCCCTCTCCTGTTCAATGAGAGTACTTTCATAACTTCTCCTGTAGCTGTCGTTTGTCCCCCATTATTTTTCGAAACTTATTAGCACTTCTGTCTTATATTTTCTCATAACCATCAAGGGCAGCATTTAGAGGATGAGAGGGTTGTCCTTCTTCCTCCCTTTATTTTCCACTCATTATTTTAATACCATTGTGCGTATATGCCTTCAGTGTAATTCAGAAAGTTTTTTAGAAATGATAATTTTTAACTGAAAAAGAGCAGTTGAAAACCGTGGGTTTTGTGGCTGAATTTCAGTCAACATGTTGATTTCCTTACCGTTCCGCAAAGAGTTGGCAGTGACTAGTCCCTTGAATTCAAGGAAATCGGCAAAGAAAGTGGACAATTATTTCAAGTAGAAAACTGACGAGAAATGTATAAATTAGAATGGGATATCAGTGATGCTCCCTCTAGAATATTGCAGTCATATTTGGTTACACGGCAAGGCAACAGATAGCACTGGTGGCAAGGTAGAAGCTGTCAGTCCACAGCTTGTGAACGCAAGTGCAGTGTTGGTTGGTCTTGTGAGACTGGAGACCTGAAAGGCCTTGACAGTCAACACGTCAAATCACAGAGCACAGCATCTTGACCTTTATTTCTCATTCCTTCACAATTCACAGTAATCTGTCAATTTTTGCCCTGATAGCTATGTGGCAATTCTTCCAAGTTGTCACTCAGTGTTCCACTATTAAAATTCATTACAAATATTAATTGATTTTAGGTGAGGTAGCCTGCTTTAATTAACATCGATTATTCTACATGTATCAAAGTAATTGAAACGAATTTTGCCAAATTGCAAGCGAGGCCATTTCATACTTCAATAACTGTCAACTAAAGAAGTGATTCCCCTACCGGTTTCATTAGCAGTATTTTTTTTGTAGATGCATGAGAAGTCAATAGTTTTTCTTAAATAACAAGACAAGACATGTCTTGATGCAGCCATAATACATCTCTAAGTCTGAAAAAATATCTGAACATGGATAGACGCCATAGAATCATATAAGTCCTGTCACATTGGAGAGTGCTGAAGAGTGTGTTGTGTCCATGAATGCCTTGTTTGAAACAATTTACTTGAATGCTAATACTTCTAGTAACTATTTACATTTTTCTGTGTTTCAGCCCGGTCAAACCGGTCCTCAGCCAGCCTTGAAGAGAGAGCTAGTCTTTCCACCGGACAGTGTAGAAGCTGTTACACCTGTTGCTTACAAACGACGAAGACTGACGAAAGGTGATGTTGCTCCAGTAGATGCATGGAGAATTATGATGGGCCTACGCAGTGGCCTTCTTGCTGAAACAACTTGGGCATTAGATGTTCTTAATATTCTTCTCTATGATGATGTGGGAGTTCAGTACTTTGGTCTAGCTCATCTGCCTGGTCTTCTTGACATTCTTCTGGAGCATTTTCGATACGCTCTCTCAGAAATGTTAGAAAACAATGTATCAAATAATCGCCAGTGGTATGAAAGAGCCAAATTCAAATCAGTCGAACCAGACCTGGGACGCGTATGGCCGTATCCTGACCCAGTAGACAGAGTAACTATCCTGAATGGAAGTGCTGACTATACTACCAAGTCTCGGAAAGGGAGTGTTGTCACAACTGTCAACGCCGATGATGAAATTTTTGTCCTGGATGGCCGGCGCAACTGGGACCTAGAAGAAAGTGAGGAAGATTTGGATCTCGAGTCGAAGTACATTATTCCGTGTTTTAGAGGAGAGTTTGATCTAGTGCCGTTTGTTAGGATACTACAGGATGTTAAAAAGGACAAGAGGGAGCGGGAGAAAAGGGAGCGGATAAAAAGTGATACTGAAATTAGCATAAAAGAAGAGGTTAGTGTGTCAATAAAACAAGAAATTAGTGAGCATAGTGAACCTAGTAATAATAGTGATAGTAGTAAAACAGACGAAATAACAAGGACAAGTAACAAAATTTTAAGTTGTAGTAGTAAAAAAGATGTGATTTTAGAAGAAACTAGTAATTGTAATACGAAAGACAGCTCAATTTCAACCAAGTCAGAAGAAGATGAAGATAAGGAGCGCATCAACGACCCATCTGGTGTACTGAAGCGAAGACGAATGTCCGATTATGAAGATGAGAGCTATGCACGGGACGAGTCAAGTTTATATCTAGTAACAGAATCACAGGATGCTATTGCCAGGCGGTGTATTAGCCTGTCGACTATTCTTCGCAACCTGACATTTGTTCCGGGAAACGAAACTGAATTTTCCAAGAATACTCTATTTCTAAGTATAATCGGCAAGCTCCTACTTGTGCATCACGAGCATCCACTGAGAACGTACAAAGCACGCAACTATGACCGTGAAGAGGACTCGGACTGCGCGGACTGCTGTTCCAGTCTTCATGGTGAATCTGAATGGTGGTGGGAGTACTTACAGGTAATTTCCCCAATTTCTCTCGTATAGATTACTCTCATATGGACGTATTTCTATCAAATGGAACTATGTGCATTAAGGCATGAGCCCTGAGACTCATAAGAATACATGCACTATAGGGCTCATGTCATAATGCACATAGTTCCGTTTGACAGAAATACGTCCATATATTTCATTATCAGGTGTCAGCTTCTTCTGCCAACAATTGATCAGCATAAATCTTGTTTTTCCTATTGTTTTAAGTAATCTTTAAAACATTTCTGACTGTTTCCTTTGGAGAAAGCCTATCGAAGGTGAAACTACCAGACCACAAATTTTGTTTGCAGTGTCAAAAATCTCTGCTCCCATTTTATTCTTTTGATGGAGAATTATCATTCCTTAAAGTGTTCACAGAGTTTTCTATGCACAGGAAAGAAATGTTAGGAAAATTTTCAATAATTGAAGTTGAGTAGTTTTCTATTTTAAAAACAAAGTATGACAGAGAGTTTGCAACGTTGCCAACTGAGATACATGGTCTGGTAGTTTCATTTTCGTTAGGTTAATCTACCATGAGATTTTGGAAGCAGCAAAGAGTTGGAGATTCATAGTGAAATTTGGATGTAACAAGTCCCAGGAGAGCAATCAGAAAAGTCAAAATTTTAAGGTTTTCGTTTTATCAAAACTTGCTGCGAAATGTAGTCGAATATACTCCAAGCTCCATCGGATGAATTTACACCACCAGAATAGCTTTTAATGGCAGTTTAATAATTCACGGTTGTTAAAGCAGATCTTTTTAATTAGAGATTCATGATTCTTTAGAATCAAAATTTACGTCTTTTGATCAACGCCTAAGTATGTGCGCATAAAAGGGTATGATCGCTCGCCCATTAAGCAGCATTGCAATAGCACGGACAGGGTAGTGTCCAAGTAGATGCTGAGATGTCAGGCCCCTTTATGTGTTGTTTGAACTGAGGACCTCCGAAGCTCCGTCCACCTGACAAGCACAAACGTGGCCGGTTTGGCCTTGCAAAGTGGAAGGTTTCTCACGTGAGCTATCAGATACTGGAGCCCGCCCTGATAAGTTATTTCTCTCCCTAATTGATTAAGGTTGATATTTGACTCGTCAGTGTTCCATTGGAAATTAACTTGTGCATCTGTTTTGTTGACTTGTAAATTTCGATATCATCACATCTGCAAATTTCACCGCGTAAAAATAATTTCTGGTACTCATTATTTTGCTCTCTCCCGAAGTTTGCAGATTATATTTGATTGTTAGATCCTGATAGTAGTTTTCTAATTAATATCCTCTTGCTTTTAATGTTACAGGTTCTTCGGGAAAATGTTCTGGTGTCAGCAGCAAACATTGCTGGGCAAGTAGACTTAGGTTCCCAACCAGAAGATATATCCAGGCCGATTTTAGATGGGCTTCTTCATTGGGCAGTTTGTCCAGCTGCTATGGGTCAAGATGGCTTTCCAACAGCACCGGATCTCTCTCCGCAGAGGCTTGCCCTGGAGGCGTTATGCAAATTGTGTGTTACCGATTCCAATGTAGACCTCGTTGTTGCTACACCTCCGTATTCTAGATTAGAAAGATTAGCATCTGTGTTAACCAAACTCCTATGCCATTCAGAAGAACAGGTAAGAACCTACGTGTTTTCATCAAATATTCTTCCAGTGGTCACCGCAGTTTTCTTTAAAACATTTTAAGAGAGTGCTGTACAAAATCAGCAAGAATCATCTAAAAGATAACTCCCTATCAGGGAAAACCAGTCAAATTTTTTTAATTTTGAGATTTGACTCTCATACAAAAATATAGAAAATTTTAATTTATTATTTAGGAGTATTAAAATGACATTTCCTACTCTAATTGTATCTCATGCCTAAGTTGAATGTTGAAATATGTTAATTAATTCCTGAATTCTGACCCTTTCTTGAGGTAAGTTTTTCTTTCTCTCTCTCACCTCCCTCACTTTCCCCTCTCTCTCTCCCCCCCCCCCTCTCTCTCTCTCTCTCTCTCTGTAAGGAAATCAAAATCATTTAACTTATTATACTGTGAATTCTTTCAGGTGATGAGAGAGTTTGCTGTTAATCTACTACACTACCTCTCCGCAGCAGATAGTGGAATGGCACGCACTATAGCTCTACAGTCCCCTTGTGTGTCACTCCTCGTTGCATTTATTGAGCAAGCAGAACAAAGCGCACTTGGAGTGGCAACCCAGCATGGAATCAGTGCTTTGCGAGATAATCCGGACAGTATGGGAACCAGTCTGGATATGCTGCGACGCGCAGCGAGAACCCTACTTCATCTCTCACGTCACCCGGCCAACCGACCTCTCTTCCTCCAGCAAGAACAGCGCCTCCTAGCTTTGGTTATGAGCCAAATTTTAGATCAGCAAGTTGCTGCCCTGGTCGCCCGAGTGTTATACCAATGTTCTCGGCCTACATCCCCTCCATGCTCATAATCTTGTCATGGTTGGAGCTCCTTCTCACAGAGATTCAAGCCGTATTCCAATTGTCTTCCTTCCGTGATAAATCCTGTCCTTCAGCATCTCAAGTGAATCTTGTGTCACTCACTTAAGACCGTGCATGCACAAAGGGGCTTCAATCCATGCAGTGCTGTTATGATTTGAAATATACTATTATATATTTTGCAATGAGCCAGATAAACACTTTTTTTAAATATTTTTCTAGAATCAAACTTTTACATTTTAGTGTTGCATGGATTTCAGCCCTTTACCTAGACTGGCCCAGTTAAGAGAATGATAGCTATATAGCATTGAATTTACTTTCTCTGCACACTTCTGAGCTGCTACCCTGTAAATATGTGCCAGATCTCAGAATCCTAATGCAGCTCACCTGCTGATTCTCTGACGCAGGCAAGGTTTTTTATTTATATATTAGTGTCTGTTTATGACAATGACATGGATATTTTCCACCAACTGATATATTATTACCTATTATTGGGTTTTTAGAGCTAGTCTGAGTGAAAAGATAATCTGCATTTCCTCTTTTTACATCAAGTTTAACGTATCAGAAATATGTCTACAAAGAAAAAGCAGGACTGTGGCTAAAAATCAAATAATTTGAAGTGGCAAGCATTTCAATGCTGAGAGATGTTTTAAATTTTACTTCAACTTATTAACAGAGTTATTGTTCGTAGTTTATCTCAGTGTTAATTTGGCCTGTTTCTGGTATTGGAATGCAGGTAACTTGAACTATTCTATCTCATTACTTAGGTGGTAAATCTCATTTCACCTGCCGGCTTGTTTCATTGCAGGCCTTGTCTTTTCTTTTAGTCCTTATGTCATTTCGTAGTGATGCAACTAGGATGAAAAGTATTGAATTCAAAGTTCCTCTGCAATTTTCTTTTATCCATGAAAACCCAATGAATTTTGCATATCAGGGTAGCTACCGGTCTGAATAATTTGAAAGAAGCTGTAAAATGGTTTTTTCCTAAACCAGTGGTTGCTGTAAACAATTGAGTGTGCGGCCCAATGGGTGTTTATTTGTATCTGATTTCTCTGTGTCAAGGAGCTTGAGAACAACCCTTTGCTTAAAACAGTTTTCACTAAAATCTTGTCATGTGATATTAATATAAGGTTTTAAATTCCCTTAATTTATTTTAATTTTCTTCTTTGTCTCCTATGCCCTTTCATCTTGTCATTTAATAGAAAAAAAAAAAGCATTTCAACTTTAATGAGAGGTGTGTTTTGAAGAAGGAAAGAAGAGGCAGTGCCAGATAAATGCGGAAATCAAGCTTGCAATCCATCTCTATCAAATTATTTCTGTTTAAATTTTAAGAACGTTGGATTGTTTGAATCAGTCTAGTGATAATTGGAGTTTGTAAGGTTATCTTCTCTTTTCCTTCTCATCTTGTTGTAGGAAATTCTAATTTTAAGTTTGGAAGTGTGAAGAAGTTAGTGCGTTGGTAGTTCAGGTGACTTAATTTTGCCTTTGTACATAGGATCTAAGTCGGTATTCTCACATATATGTACACAAACTGTATTCATGTATGTCAGTACAATATACTTCTAACTAATCATTTGAATCAATTTAAATGCAAAGTCAGAACTGTCGGATTTTAAATTATTTGACTAAAACCATGATAGCAAACTAAATGTAATTTTATTTCTTGAAGACTACGCTTGTACAGATTTGATACATTGATCATAGAAAACACTTTTTAAAAATTCTTTCCCTTCAACGTTTTCTAATTTTTCTCGTGCGCCTTGTCAAACGTGCTTGTTCTGAAGAAGTGAATTGAGGCACCATGCAAGGTTTTCCATCTTGCACCTCACATGGTCGAAGTTCGTTTTTATTTTTTTAACATGAGCACCTTATTATTGAGAGACTGACCACTTGTATATCATCACTGAATTGTGATTTTGTTTTTGTAACTTGTTCTATGTTTAAGAGCTTTTTTTAATGTGTTATCAGAGGTAAGTTTAAGAGGGATACAAAACAAAATCCTCGGTGGAAGGGGGGAGGAGGGGCATGAGACTCGCCCAACAACTGTAACTCATCTTAACTTCGTCAAAGGCGAACTGTTGGTGTTTTTCTTTTTCTTCTTCACACTGTTTTGTCCTTAGCGTGCAATCGTTCCTTCCAACTTTTGAAATCAAAACCATATTAACATATTAGATTAAAATACCTGATGCAAAGGAAAATCGGAGAAATTAACCGAAGTAAATTCACACAGACCACTAGATCAAACATGCAACTTTCTAATTTGCATGGGAAGGTGCTTGATTTTTTTTTGTCCCGACATTTTCATGCCCAGAATAGAACATGAATTGCAGGGTAACCGTTCACCTTAAATTCAAAATTGTTGAAAGCAATTTTTTCCTGAGACACCATTCATTTTTCCCTCCTTGCTTTTAGTGTTTGTTGACTAGTCACTGTCTGGGAACTACCTAAGTGGATTGAGACTGCTATCTCCTTTGTGATAATGCTGTATTTACTTAAATTTCAAGGTTAAGTAGCTTTTTTCTCTCTTTATGGACTTCATTCCAGGCAAAAGCATCTTCATTCTACTTCTGGCGTTTAGAAATTTAAGTTTCCGACCTCCCTCTTTCTTCCACTTTCTCTACCCATCCTCTCTTTCAAGTTTTCAGAAGACTGATCAGAACTTTAAGCGTAGGTATTGAAATTATAAGCATACTAGGTGAAAGTCTCTAATATTGTTTCTCATCTCCCTTCTGAAATGGCTCATATATAAGTACGCACTATTTTTTATAGTGCGTTTAGAGGTTAAACCTCGTAGCTCCGGGGAAAACATCAGTTAAGGAGATATTAAGTCTCATCTATGGATCACTATCCTTTTTTTTGTGGTTGCATTTAACCAACTTTAATTTCAAATCAATTATAAATCGAAATCTATGTTTCTCATACTGTGCTGCAACCGTAAGAATGACTTTACTTTTTACTCTGCTTTCTGATAGTTTCTCTGGATCATGGGGAAGACCCAGTTTGAGTAGGCCTATCTCGAGTTGTAGTAGGACCCTTAAAAAACTGTGTATTTCTTACGGGACATGAGAAGGGTCTTCTGTCTGCATCGTAAGTTTTAAACTGAAAAAAGTATTGTAATATCTCAAAGAGAAACAAAATGTAAAGCGATTCAAGTGAGTCAGAACTGGTGTAAATGATAAATTAAAATTGTTGATGTGCGGTCTGAAAGGGTTAATGTAATATTGTACGTATGATGTATATATTAGATACTGTTTCGTTCCCTTTGTATAATTTTAATGTTCAATTTGTACTTTTTTTAAATGATTATTTTTTTTCCCTCTTTTTTTTGTGTTAATATTTATGTTTTGAGAACATGAGTTTAATTTTGTTGTTGTACAGGAAATAATTTTTCAAATGAAACTGAAGACAGATATAAATTATTAAACATTTGGCATTCAGGATTTGAATTTTTTGTTAGTTTTGAATGAAGTGTACATATTACGATAGAATTGTTTAAGGCAAATATTTTAGTGTATTATCTTTCCTTTTATGTTCTTTGAATAAATTATGACCTCATTATTTTTATGGAATTATTTCTCCCAGTTTTCTTAACGCCAAAAATTACTTTCAGCTGAGTTAGTCTTCAATATTGACACAACATCTGATGAATTCAGTTGTACTTGTATGCAGGTGTGTCTGTTGGTCAACATCAGTAATATCATTAGCGAAGGGAAATATTCTGAATGTTTTCCCCACTTTCTTCCCTTCTCTTTAGGAGACCCAAGATGAATGGGTCAGTTAGGTGAGAGACGATATCAAAGGCCATTACTGGATAACAACAATGGCCTCGGACAGTACCACATCAGCAGAAGTAGAACAGGAAGTCTGCAAAGTTGCAATCCAAGATATAGAAGGCTAAGGATCAATACGGCCTAGCTGATAATTTCGGCGAATGAGAATGAGCGACTTTGCTGCTTTCTACAGTATAAAACACATACGCCAATGTCTTTAGTTTTTTCCTGCATGAAAGCTCTCAAATGACACTGTAATGAATGAAAAAAATTGCTAATCTGACCTCAAAGTGGGTTTTAATTGCGCTTTGAAGATTTAGGTTTATGACATCACCCACTGCAGCAGTGACACCTTTGATTTCTTCCATCTTGCTTTCATCCGAGTTTTGCGTTGGGTAACCAGTGCAAATGTGTGTCTCACTGATCGATCAGAGGAAAGTGGAAGAAACTCAGGGTGTCTCTATCGCAGTGGATAACGTCATAAGCCGAATTTTTCGAAGCGTGATATCTCGGTTAATACTGAATGTATGAAGTTGCTGTCTGGGCGGATCCTATTATTCTTTCCTAATCCACAAGAATCCAGCATCAAAACACGATTCTGTGACCAATGGAACTGATCGAGGCAAAGTGGCCTAGTTTTTTCTTCGTCCTGCGAAATCATCTGTTAGCAGAAAGGTGGTATTGTTCCTAAGCCTTTGATAAGTGGACGCATTTCTGTCAAATGGAACTATGTGCATTATAATGTGAGCTCTGTTATGCATATATTTTTATGGGCTTCAGGGCTCATGTCTTAATGCACATAGTTCCGATTGGCAGAAATACGTCCAAGTGGTTTGGGAGTTTTAGTGTCCTAATGAAGGATGCATTGCCCTTCTCAGATGTTATATCAGTCCCAGAAATATCTGTCAAACAGCACTCCTTATTAAATAGGTCTTGTTACTGGTTATTTCGTTGGGCAGTGATGATAAGCGAGTGAAATTACAGAGGCTCTCTTCAAGGCACCATCAGACGTGTTTCTCAAACACCGCATCTGTTGTCTCTTTTAGTGGTGGCTTCTCACCCGATGAATGATGATTATCCTCCTAAAACCGAAATTATTCAATCACTGAATTTCTCAATGGAAAGTTCTTAAGGGCTTGTAGAGTTTAGTTGTTGGAGCCTTAAGTCGAAATGGAATTTCACCGTTTTGCACTTCTCATACTAATCGAATAAATGCAACCAGAATCAGTCTGATCACATTCCAGAATGCTTAATTGGACTACCTACATTTAGCAATTATTCGGCACTACAATCTCTGGTTCAACCATTAAAATACTCAAGTGCACAGGGAGACCAACAGCACATACAATGTCGCCAAGTCCAGGCAGGTATAGTAGTTCCCAATTGCAAAATGAAGTTCTATTTCCTCTCATGTTGAAGTTCAGAAGAATAATTACCTATTTATTGCTTTTAAACTCACTGAAAATTTCACCGAGTTCATCAGGAATGCAACAAGGTAGAATCAAGAAAAACCATGCTCTAAGTCAGAAGGTTTTTTCCTGCACAAGACGTAAGACTCAGAATGTTTGATGGAAGAAAATTTGTGACAGTTTGAATTCTAAATTACTTCTAATTTAACTTTGTCGAAATTACAACTTGATGCGTTTCTGTAAAACAGGAAAAGAGGAATAGAAGTTCCATAACGTTTACACTTTCCAGTCCATTTTACAAGGCCAATAACTGGAGTATCGGTCTCACTTGATTATTGCACTTACTTGGAAAGAGAAATGGATAGCTCAGAGAATGACAGGAAAGAGGAGAAATTCATAAGTTCGTGATAGGGTCAAGGTTTTACGGTGATGAACAACATCCAATTGGACCGCGTTTAACAGAAAGGAACCAAGCCACTTCAGCTATTGCCAAAGTTAACTGGACAATTAAATTTTTTACCAGAGAACGTTTAAGCGGATTCTTGTGAAAATTTTAGATAATTTGTTTCGTATTATGGAGAAAATCCACTGAAATTCGCACGAAAATCCGCACAGCCGTTTACATGTAAAAAATTAAATTGCCCTCTTAAATTTGGCAATAGCTGATGTGGCTTGGTTCCTTTCTGTTTAGTGCGGTCCAATTAGGCCCTAGATCTTTGGAGTGATGGAAAAATTAAGGAATGAAAAATAAGTAAAAGGAAAAGATACATGAAAAAAATAAGTGGTTTATATGGACAAATTCAAAATTAGAGTAAGATTATAAAGCAAAATGCCTACACTAAGAAGAATTCAGAATTCCAATCAAAGGAGCAAAAACATTGTTTTTAACAGAGGATAAACCTAAATATGCAATATTTACACATGATAAACAGTATGATTTACACAGGAAATGTTACATTCATCCACAGACTCCACTTAATAAAAATATAAAGTTTCTTCAGGCGACATACTTACAGAGGGGCTTAAAAAACATAAATAAATGATTCGAACAAGAATTAAAGTAATTCTTTCCTCTAGTAAGTTCTCTTCTCGGGGAAAAGACGACTGATGACGAACCCAAAGATTATTTCACAATAATGAGTTATTATCCTTTAACAGAACAGAAAATTTTATTGGTTGTACCATTGCACGTTTTCAGCATGGCATTTTCAGTGGGACATGCCGTCACGCCTAAAAGCACATGCATTATTTATGAAGTTATTAACTCCAATTTAGTTCCTTAATTTAAGGGATTTTAGCCATTATAACAATTTTTTTTTTCTTCTGCATACTTGCGGCAAAACTTTCTGTGTAAGACCACTACTTCGATTTAGTACGGCTACTTACAAGTTTTATTTGGATTATTTTAAAAAAATTGGATACATTAAAAATATATTCATGTCTCAGAAAAGTATGATCAAATTTTAAAGTTGATTAGCTAAGAAATATAGTTAGCCTGAGAGACTTCATAGACTAGTGTTGCGGATCGATCGATGAAAATTTTCCAGCCGTACTTTTGACTTGATTTTTAAGCTAATGAACCTCAACATATAATCATTCACTTTTGAGAAATGGATTTATCTCCGATCCATACAATTTTTGGAAAATAACCAGAATAAAAGCTCAAAATTAGTCATATATTGAGGTGGATACCACTTAGATTACTGTTTACCCAGGATTAACATCAAGAATGGAGAGATTTTTTAAGTTGTAGGTCAACAACAAGGGTTTTTAAAACAAGTGCTTGTCAGTAAGCTATTGATAAACTCCACTTGGTTGGTACTGATTGATCCTAACAAGGCTGTTACTGAAATGAAGGAGTAGTCCTACAATACGCTAGTGGCTGAAGGTCCAATTCCTTCCTCTGTTGCCCTGTTAAGTCTTATGGAATGCAGGGCCTATAAACCAGAAATACAATACAAAATTTCAACCATGCCAGCTCTGATTGATGTCAAGAGGAGTACTTCTATTGCATTTTTTGTGATGGTTGCTTGCTATAAGCCAAGAAAACAGCCTTGGCTATGGAATAAATGTATACACCAATATTCTTTCTTGAAATTATACACCACAAATTGTTGTCAGAAGCTGTAACTATTTGGACTAGCTTCAAATTACAAATTTCAACATATTTGGGGGAAAAGATGAGATTAAAATATTTCTTAAACTATACTACTAAGTATCATAATTTGTGATTCAGGCTTGTTTTTTCTTACAAAATTTTGCAAGAGACATTCTTATATTTGTAATCGTTTGGTTCTGAAATTCACTTAAAGCAAATTCTCTTGCCTGCAACCATGTTGAACTGATAATGGGAGATTTTGAATGAAAAGATTTTTCAGTATTTTGAAGGAAATATTCAATTTGAGGAGCATCTTATTTTGGCGAGATAACGGAGGAACATTCGCATCAACAATATTAACAACTTACGGTAGGATATAGTCTCCTTGAAGGGCTTGAGTGAAAGGTATAGAGCTGACTGACGCCAAGCAATAAAAATAGCATACAGTTAAGAGAAGATCTCTCAGCTTCAATTGCAGTATCAGTTGTTTCCTAGGTTCAAAAGCACTCCTATGCTTTTTATTGCATTAAAGTTCTGGTGCTTGAGAGAAGATTGATCTTTTTCATATGATGTGAGAGGAAAGCAATAAAAACTGGTGACAAACCAACATATCCACTTTTCGATTCAATAGAATTTTGAGATAACTTCTCTAAATCACAGTTATTCCTATAAGGGAAATAAAACTATCTCCACTAACACTTGCTAAAAACGGACAGAACAGCTCCAAACTACATAAGCTGAAGTTATTATCTTTCAGGCATGAGATCTCTACACCTTCAATTCCTCTCACTGTAGGGACTGACAATAATTGATGGACTGTGAAAACTTGTTCATTTATGCGGATATTTTGCTCAGCAGTTCTTGAGTGAGAGAGAACAGGGATGACATTGAAAAAGTGTTGACCATCAATTGTCATGAGGAATTTTGTATACAAACTTCAGGCTTGCAACTGTCAGAGGACTTATTATATTATCTATGAGGGGATGGATGTGCGAGTTCACCGAGGAGACTATTGGATTTGATCAGAACTCTAAAAAAAGTTAACACTTCACGATTGAAGACCAGCCAAACAAATTACATTACAGTCTTTTAGTATCTAGAATTATATCAGTTAGGATGAATTTGAGGATCTTTGACGCACCGCAAGTAATTTACGACTACTTTACATATCAGTGCTGACATTGAGATTTGGCAAAACAGCAGACTCAAACAAACAGTCTCCTCTCAATAACGCCAGCTGTGAAAATGGTTGCAAAACCTTATTCTTGGAATTTTGTAACAAGAGATTCAAATGGAGAGACAGGGAAAACAATTGAAGAAGTAATGAGCATTATCAAAGGGATAAGTAGACTGCATTTTGCAATTTGGAACTATAAATTCTGGCCCGGTTTAAAAACAACGTATGTGCCATTAGTTTCCCTATGCACATAAGTGTTTTTACAGATGAGTCAGAATATATAGTTCCAAATTGCAAAATGCAGTCCAAGTAATGGAGAATATGAACTCCAACGATTCTTGAGCACTCGTTTCGAAATTGGCCACAAGAATCTGAAGCGAGTTAATTTTGAGAGCATGATTGATTGCTTTCGTTCCCTTTGATTATTTAATATACACTGTTATGCTTCGAGACCATTCTTCACATCAACTAAGTGTTTCGGATCTTCCCAGGAATATAGTTTTTGTCAATCACTGGTTCTTGTAAGAACATGTGGAGACAGCGTTCATTCTGTGCTAAGGGATGCCCGGCGATTCTGTAAAAAAAGAGAAAAGTCTTTTTTACAACTTTCGTGTTGATGTTCACAAATTTTGGCATCATGTCGTGATCCGATTCCCTTCACTTATCTCCGAAGAGACTCATGGTATTCATTCAGAAACAGTAATGCCACCTACTGAAATTTTGTATGCGTTAACCCATCAAGACATAACAAAGGTGGTAAAGAGATAGGCCATTTATCCATCGCGGCGAATGCATTCTTTATCGCACCTTCATAAAGGCGGATACTGCAAACGTTTAAGCAACCCTTCAGTAAAAGAAAACTATTTAATTATTCGGCTCCATTAAGACGCATCAAAGAAAGCAAGTGATGCAATGAACTCATTGCATAACTTAAAATGGCCAATGGTAATGTCTTATCTCTTTGATAAAAACCAAGTTTCGACCATCTGTCTGCTTGTTGAGAAGAGTCAGGACTCAATTATTGATTGCCACTGTCAAATGTTCGAACATACTCTACTTAAAAACATACTAAGCGGCAACTCCACTTTTATGGGATTGTTTCGTGCTTCATTGTAGTTGACATTGCAGCATTCAGTTACATTAGAACATGAATTTGCAAAATGGACCACCAAACAAAGGAGGAATCTAAGTATTTTGATGCTCATGTTTCTCTTTAAAAATTCACACAGAACAATCCCCGCAACAGCTATTACTGAAATCAACTCTAAACCAAGATATTAACGTTTTTATTTAGCACTGGTTACGGAAAATTTGAATTTTGCGCTTCAATAAAACCGGTTTATACATGAATCAAGTCATGCAGTGTAGCTTCCCGCCTCGTGTTGTTCAAAAAGTAAACTACCTAAAGCAGCTAAGGCAAAGTGCCGAGATTGAGGTTGCCATATTTTCATGCCACAGAGGCTTTTATAGTAACACTTAGTAAGCAATTTAACTCAAGTGGATCAGTCATTTTAATGAGTAGGAGGTTTGAAACTGTGCATTGAAAAACGTCAAAGCTTTATTAGGAGTTAATTTTAATAACTTTTGTAGCGCAAATTGTGTTCTACGAGTAACTTTGATGAGAAAATATAGAGCTTATTCCTAGAATTTGCGACTTTTTTGTGGTCCATTCTGATCTAAAATAGTTGAAAATCAAAGTGGAAGTTTTCAATTAACTCTGGTAAATATTCATCGATTTCCAAGACTACAAAATGCCTGTAAAAATGACTCCTGCTATTTGGACCGCGTTTAACAAAGAGGAACCAAGCCACATCAGCTATTGTCAAATTTGACTGAGCAATTTAATTTTTTACAAGGAAACGTTTGTGCAAACTTTTTTGAAAATTTTAAGGAATTCGCTTCGCACTATGGAGAAAATTCACTGAAATTTGCATGAAAATCTGCACAATCGTTTTCATGTAACTTTAATTGCTCAGTTAAATTTGGCAATAGCTGATGTGGCTTGGTTTCTTTCTGTTTAACACAGTTCATATCTGACTATTTATGACTCTTTGTTATTTTGGCATGTATTACAAGTGTTCCTAGGCTAGCGAAAGTATTAACCAGTGACAATAAAATATCTTTGTCAATTTTAGCTTCACTTGGGTGAAGATTTGAAGGTAACAACCGCTTAATGATTCAGGTTTTTAAACCTCTGCACACTGCAACTTTTACTTACTTGTTAATAAAGCTCTCAAGACCCTTCCTCCTGTCCTCAATGAAGTCCTCTTCAAAAATACCATCATCCCCACGGAAGGGCATTTGTCGCTTCCATGCTTTGCCAGGTAGAGTGGGCACCACAATCTATGATAAGAAAATAAAAACAAAATTACATTTGGAGTACAGCTAGTCAGAGAGGAAAGAGAGATGATAGATAGAAATGAGTGGAAATGGTAACCGACAGGAGAATATACCAGTTAAACAATTCAATAATGTTACCGAATAAAATGACCAAATTCTGATCTGAGATGAGTTAGGAAAACTGAAATGCAGGTTTTTAAATTAGCTCTGATAAAAAGTGGGATTTGCGGGGAAGCAGTGTCCAAAACTGAAAAATGCCTGTAAAAATGGCAAGGTGGGGAAAAATGCAAAAATATGTAGGTTATAAATCAAATAAACTACTGGTACTACTAAGCAAATTTCTCACAAGCTCAATTAAGTAATAGAGATTCAGAGAATACAAAATTATGAATCTTCCAGTCAGAGTCACATTTGGGAGATCAAAAGAAAAGGAACTAGAGAAATCTAATCTTCTGAAAATCTGAGTACATGTATGGATGTATAAAAATATGACAAATGTTCCGACTTGCTTTGACCATTACCTTGCTATCTCTTTCGAGTTCATTTCTCAGCCATTCGAAGTCACTGTACCTACGCCTCACACTGGATTCCTTCACTTTGAAGACCGGTAAATTTGTCTATAAAGAAGAGATAAGCAAAGCAAAAAAATTAGCTGTGAATATTCAATAATAACTACAAAGAAAAATCTTTTGAGGATAATAGAAGTTTTCTGCATACTAATGACACTTTCCTTTGTCTTACCCAATATCTCCCACTCCTTGTCAAAATGGTAAAATTCAGATTAAACAAACCTACAATTTTATTTTATTTTTTGTGGAAAATCGAATTTTCCAGAGAAAGTTAGTTCCTAAGAGAAGCATATTTTGTAAAATTTGACTGACAGCTCCCAACGGAGATGGAAAGAAAACTAAGGCTATTTTTGGTTTAGCAGCCAAAAGTTAATGGATAAAAGCCCACTGGAGACCCCATTGGTGAGAGAATTACATTTTGAACTCATGGATAGGTCATGGTGTAGCCACATTTGAGGTGCTCCAGGTAGCAAAATGATCTGTCTTGACACTTCCTCAACGATCTCATAAAATAATTAACTAGCTATTATTCTATGACAAACTCAAAACAGATCTTCAGATGTTGAAGAGGCAAATATATCTCACAACTTGTTGCAAAATAATGTTTAATAGTTGTTATCATAGTTGTTATTGTCCAATCAGTAGTATTTTTGACTCCTGACAATGTTGCTAAATGTACCTGCTAGAGTATGGAACTAAATTAATACTGTGTATTTTATTCTATTTTTGAGTGACTTTGGGAACAGTAAAATGGGTCAAACATAATTCTTGATGGCTAACAAAATATTGTAAATTATTTCCTGATATATGTATTGTGAGGTATATTTGTTTTGGGTTAAATAAAAAAGTGTCAAAATGCCATAATTTTGCTGTATGTGGAGCCTCAAAAGCTGCAGCAGCATGATTCCTCAACCCCCACCCAAGGGTCCAAAGTGCGATTTCTTCATTTATAATAGGCCCCTAAATGCCTCCCTGAGAGATTCATGGGTATTAAGACATTTGGCACTTCGATAGCAAAGAAAAAGGCCATTCAACAGCCTACCTTTTCCCATTTAACCTGATGTCAATATTTACTGAAAGTTCGATTGCTTTGAGGATTATCGAGAATGCTTCGAACTATCTTGAATTTAAGACAATGAGCTGTATAATGCACAGAACCGATTGCTACCTAGGGCGACTTGATTTTCCAACGTGACAGAAGTATTCTGCACCTTCTTTTCACAATCCCTTTCTGGTCATTTACCTTGGGGTCTCCTAGTCTCTAAGGAGGTTAGGCGACTTTTAATATGGGAGAGATTGAGAGCGGGATCCTGGCTCCCTGTAAAAATGGACAAAATTTATCCGTAATAAGGATACAGAAAGAAGCTACTACACATTGGAGCTTCATCATAAGTATCCGTCCAATGACAAGAGCTTCAGAACTCGTCGGAGAAAAGTTCTTGCTTCTAACAGTCCCAACAGACAGGAACTCCAGAGCCAAGGATCCAGGACCTTCACTAGGATTATAGTTGTGCAAAGAGAGAAGGCATCATTGAGGTACACTGCTCTTTCATGAACAGTCAGAATGCCTTTAATTTGGAATCAAAGTTACATTGAATAAGGAGAAGCGCTTCCTGCTCTGCTTCCGGAAAAAGGTAAAGTGAAGACAATTGAATTCCATGGAAATATGAATCAGCTCATAACAATTCCTGAATAATACGAGAAATGGAGTTGTGGGCCTGATGGATTTTGACAGAACGGGAGTGAGATTTAACATGACAGAGTAAAGACTGTACGTTCAGGAATTAAGTGGGCAGACATTGATTAACATGAGCTTGATTTGGTAAGATGTTCAATAATTACCCTCATTCGCACTTCATAATCTGTGTATCTCTTTTTCGCCACACCGTGAGTCATGGGATTAATAACGTCGATTTCTAGAAAATTGGCAGGGGCAGCGTATGCATCGTCCAAAGTTTGTTTCTTGACGTTCAATCGCCTGGTAGCCTCGATAGTGGGATCCGTCATTATCTGTGGGTAATTGGATGTATATTCACCGAAATTGTAAAGAATGAGAAGGATACGGGGACACAAACTTTTCTACACTTATGTATCACTAACGAGCAAAGTACATCCGAGCGTTCCGTAAGGTGAATAATAATTGAATTTATTTAAGTTAGCGACACAAAAGGAAAGGAACCGCAATTTCGTGTTTCATGATAATAAAGAAGTTACATACGTCGTCGTCTCCTAACTGATTATCTGATGCATACCAACGGTGATAACCAGTTCCAGTTTCGTAGCCATGATGCGCGTCATGAAACACTTGTACCGCTGTGACGTAAGGCTGTTAGTATCATCTACCCCTGCTTGTCAAGGTTGATTAAAAGCCTGCTTGTCGACCAAAGAACCAGAAATGCTATTGCTTTAATTCTTCATTATGATTCATTTTGAATTAACTGGGCGCTACGCATGACCCGATTTACCTACTTGCCGCCTGCATTTTGCCGCCCTCTCCTCATTCATTTTGAATCATCAATAAAAACCATCAAGTAAACGTGTCGGAGGGAGAAGGGTGCACAAGACGCGTTCACTCGTGTTGGACACCTTTGGTTGGAAAAAGTAAAAGTGCGTATTTTTAAAGATAGCAATTTTTAGGCGGCACGGGCCGGGCACACGGGGAAGATCAAGGCAAATCGAACGCCTCAAAAGCGACTTTTTCCTCTCTCTTGTTCCTTCTCTCTGCCCCCCCCCACCCATATCAAGGTAAAACTCTGAAAATGCGTATCTCAGTTGCGGTGTTTCAAAATTTCCGCTCCTATTTCATTTTTTAAAAAGAGACCAAACATACATCATGACTTGAAGTTTTCACAGAAAATTTTTCATAAGACAAGAAAAACCATCGAAAAGATTGACAGTCAGTAATTTTCCAAGCACCAAGGAAAACAAGCATGCCAGAACGCCGCAAACGGAGGTACCTACACATTTCTGCAGTTCATCAAAACGGGGTGTGGAAATTTCCGCATCATTGCATTTTGCTTACATAATCTGACGGCTCGGCCGAAAAGATTTTTGAGAAGTGGAAAGTGAGAGGAGATTGCGAAAAGGATTCGTCCATCTCTACGTGGGGGGTGGACTGACCGGACGTCTCTCTGTCTGAAATCGAGCGGTACGCTTTTTATCAGTTCTCGAAGGAATAGAAACCCGAAAATCAAAAGCTAGCGCGACAGAACGACGCCAATTTCGAACAGGATGCAGTCTGTCGAAGGTACCCTTGCGTGCGCCAATCAGAATCAGTCTCGATCGGGCGACGCTACTCCTCCGGGCCCCCCACCCCATGCAAATCATGCCCTGAGGCTCCGCACTTTTCCGTCAGCAATCGTCCCGGTCGGTTGTAGTCTCGCGTCCGGTCGGAGTGACTCCCTCGTGGTTTCAAGTGATTTTCCTTTTATTAAAAGTTTTAAGACTCTTCGAATGTGTCTCGTTACCTCGTCTGTTGTTTGAAAACTCTTTGGTGTACGTTAAATTGATCGTGTGAAGTAATTAGCCTCTTGAATTGAGTCCTTCATCGTCTCGAAGTAGGCACCTCGTGCTCGGCGTTTGAGCAAATTGATTGCCAATGGACCCCCACAATTTCCATCGATTCTCGTAGTTTCACATGATTTTCTTGTTTCCGGCGTTTATTTTGGCTGTGTGTCTCGGTACGTCGTGTGTTTCGCGTAAATTCTTCGGCGATGTAACTATCGTGTGTGTTCGGTAATTTGTCACTCGGATTGGACAATGGCCGTCGCTGAGAGGCCTACTGTTTCACGAAATTCATTGCCGAAATCGTGTCCGGCGTTTGAGAGAATTGAACCCCGAAACTTTCATCGAATTTCGTCGTTTCCAATGATTCGAGTTGACATCTATGTGAACTTCTCCATTTCACCATGAACTTACCCGCGCGCGTTTTCCGTTTTCTTCACTGTCCAGCCTCCAGCGACCTGTTGTGCGGCGACATTTCGGGAGTCCGAGTGATTTCGTCCCTCGTGTCATCCTGTGTCGGTGTGTGCGTGTGTGTTTCCGAGCAATCCAGCGTATTATCGGCTTCGCGTTTTGAGTGTCGGCGTCTCCTTCTCACTCTACTTCGATTAATTTCGTGCCTATCATTCGGAAGGAGTCTCATATATCCTGGTCACACTTAGCTCCCTTTGATGCGTATGTATTTTGGCGTTGGTCTGGATTCAGGTTAGATTTATAGCACATATCTTACTTCGATTCTGCTCAGATTTGGTGTCATGTTTGCAAAATTGTACGTAACTCATACTTTACTCTCATTATGTTTTCTGTCTTCTTCCTCCTCTCTTTTTCCATTCTTGCTTATGTACTTCTCTCTCATTATTGTGCCTCATTTTCACAGTACCTACCTATGTACTCCTGTAACAGTCAAAAGCAAGTACCTAGGGACAAATCTTGCTGTCATGTTTTCCCTAGCTAGTTACGTATAATTATGCTTCACTTAGCAACATTTGTTATCCCTCCTTTTTAGGCCAGAAACTTGTGTAGTACTGTACACACATACAAACCCAGCATAATTAATGAGAAATTTATTTTTAGGTGTTAGAGTTAAACACAACTCAATTAATTATATTCATAGAAATTATCTGCTGAAATATCTGGAATTATTTAAGCATCTCTTTTAGCCCATATTTCTAAGATGTAAAAGTCATATTGCTTTAATCTGAATTAAGTAATCAGTTAAAAATGCCAGTGATAACTGGACCAGGCTCGGAAGAGCGGACTGTATTTGTGAGGATGAGAGGTTTCCAGACTTCTGATTAAACTGCCTTGAGTCAAAGTCTGTATACTCTCTGATTTTACAGGTGGAAATTTCTCAGGATTTTCTTTATTTCTGCTTATTCTTAGTCAGCAATAGTGACTGTATTCGTTAGGATGAGAGGTTTCCAGACTTCTGATTAAACTGCCTTGAGTCAAAGTCTGTATACCCTCTGATTTTACAGGTGGAAATTTCTCAGGATTTTCTTTATTTCAGCTTAATCTTAGTCAGCAATAGTGTTTTCTGCCTCATGCCTTTACATTATCTCCTTGAAGTCTATGAATATTTTAATTGAAAGTTCCAAGTAGATTTTCTATAAACCTGTAAATAAAATGCGTAGGGAACCTCCCCCTCCCAAGTATGGAAAAACAGTCTCCCCTAGAGGTTCCTTGCAGTCGATAAATATTTTAATTGAAAGTTCCTATTAGGTATTCTGGGCACCCCTAATTAAAATGTGTAGGTACACTCCCTCCCCCCCCAAATATTGTACAATAGTCTCCTAAAGAGGTAGTCTCTCCAAGCAATGGATACTCTGCATAATTTAAAGTAGCTTCATACATTGTTTGCATTTTCTCATTTCATCGCATTTATGAAGACCGGGAAAAGTTTGAGATTGTTCGAATCTTCATGGGTAGAGTTAATCCTTAGGTTTATTTTCAACATTTAATAGCAAATTTGAATTTTCTCTTTCGTCGACTTAGCCCGTTGGATGAAATTGAAGAGAGAAGAAAAGGATAAATGAAAGACAGGGAGCGAGCATCCCTTGAAAGTCGCAAGAACTTGAAGTGCGCTTATCTACAGCCTTTGGTGTGAGAGGGAGCCTCAAAG